TGCGGTTGTGTTTCACGGCCCTGGGAGCTGTATTCTCGGCATGATTAATGGAATGTACACCCACCGACCCACCCTATCCTACGGGCAAAACACCCTGCCCAACACGTCCATTACGATAATGAGCAGGGCCCAAAGCAGGGCTTCGTTTCAAGAATACGGCTTAAATTGGAGTACCAAAAAATAGAGCATTAGAAAGAATGAAGCCCAAGGGTTTTAAAAAAAATTACAGGCTAGACAAATTTAGAAATTCTATTAGTCAAGAAGATCTCGAAGCTCCTCTAAATATAATTTGTTTAAAAAATATTTAAATTTGAGAAAGATTTCCAGTGTAAACCAAAACACATATTGCAAAATATTCCAATTTCATGACAGCACGTTGAAAAGTAATCAGCCAAAAGCAGGTCATTTAGTTTATTTTATGAGCGAGTATCTGTATCTGTTCTGTATCATTACTGTATCAGTTCTGTATCATATCTGTATCATTCGGCAGATGACCAACTGAAGGACTCCGGACAGACTCCAGCTGCCCGGCAGCCCATCCATAATTGAGCCAAGTGTCCGGCGGTGGATCTAATTTAAATAAAAATTGTTCTCATTATATTCACCATCACGTGCCTTGTAGGCATCAGATGTAGTTGGAAATATGGCGCCTCAGCCACCTCAACCATCACCACATGGTACACTCTATATACCCAACTTCCACAACAAACCGTCTCCCATCCAATCTCCCTACCCCATAAAATGCTTGTGGACCGGGAAAATTGTTTTTTGGGGAGGTGGTGGAGGCTTATGACACGCCATATACAACTCCTGCTTCCGTATCCTAAAACTGGGGAGCATAATGAGCGGAGAAGGAAGCGACAGGAACAAGCCTATGCACTTGAAAAAAAAAATCAAGAAAAAAGGATCTAAGATAACAAAGACTAGGATTTTTTACTACGATAAGAAACAGTTAGCCCTAATATTAATATTTATTCAGCAACTACATATTTTTTCGCAGTGTTCTGAGGTTAGCTAGGACACAAAGGATCCAAGGAAGAGGTGTTACCGTATTGGGGCACCTCGTTGACTTCGATTTATGTTTGCTGCGAGCCGACAGCCTCGGAAGGTAAATTAAATTTGCGTTTTTTTATTAGGAAGTATTTTATTTAATCGTACAGCCTTGTTTTTCTTGCCACGTGGAAGGGCCCCCCCAGTTTCTGGCAAAGTACCTTGAGTGTTATTGTACCTGCTCCTTGATTATTTGCCTTTCTTCAAAGACACACGCACTCACACGAGCGAGGATTTCTTTTTTATAAATTTTCTCCTTGGGACACACAGACTTACACCGGAAATGGGTGTTTATTCTGTTTCCGTCGCGACAGACGAATTCCATTGTCGCATAAATTGCAAATTAAACCTTAAGAATGGTGTGAGAGTAATTGCGTATGTGGCTTTTTTTTTTGTGTTTTAGCTTATTTTTCAACGTTTAGCGGAAAATTAAAATGGGAGTTCTTTCTGGTTCTGATAAATTGTCTTCTTAAGAAATGGTATTTATCCAGAAAAAATGGTTTTTTAAAGCGCCTTTAAAGCGCACCACATACTCCAATTCCACAACCAAAACCAAAACTATTTAGTAACCTTCAATTGCCACTTTCATTTACTGACCTAATAACACGAATGTTGAATTAATTCAATTATATTTTAATTATGTTAAAGCTGCAATTACGAGTTGCTCATTATGTGCTTTGAAAATTGCGTATACGCCGTGTGTGCACTCAATTCGATGTGGCGCGGCAAGTGCAGACATACGTTGACACGAAGTGGCCACAATTGCATTTAGCCAAAAACTTGAAACGTTTACGACTGGCAAATATGCCGTGACAGGACGAGCTGGAAAAGGATACACCGCTGAAGCAGACAAGTCGCTCCAGATGGCACATAACAGACACTTAAATGGCAAAAGTTAAAATTACAATTAAATACAATGCTGTGGGATGAGGGAGTAATGGTGGAGGGCAAAGCGAAGCCCATGGTTGTCATTCCGCACGGTCATCGGATATCCTTGGAGTAACGGCAACGGCAGCAGCAGAATTGCAGAAAAAGGGCAGCATTCCACTGGCCAAGTGCAAACAACTCGCCAAAGTGAAGCCCCACAGAGCTAAGTAAATTGTTGGCTTAACAAATTGCTAATCCACTTTCACTTGATCTTGGAAGGGGGCAGGAGAGCAGGAGAACGAGGCACCGGCTGGTTCACCGAATGCATTTGAATAATTCCCTCAATAGTCGAGAGTTGTTCATCAAAGTTGCAGACCAGCCATTCAAGATTGCAGACCCGGAAAAAATCCCCTCTTTAGCAAGTTTTTCGCTTACATCAAAGGAAATGGAATTTATCTGATATGATTATGTTGCACTTTCATAACAGTTTGCGATTTAATCTTTGTGCTATGGTCTTAAGGTGTCCCTGCCGAACTTAATTTCATCAAACCAAAGTCTGAGTGGAAATATTTAAATTAAATTGCTCGACGAGTATGTGTGGACGGACGGACGAACGGCTTTCATCTCCTTGAGCTGTGCATGAGTTCCCTCTGAAAGGTCATTTCACTTGGCTTTCAAGGAAATTAGTTTTAAATTAATTAAAAGATTTTCCCATAACTATGCGCTGCGGCTGTGGCTGTGGATGTGGCTGTTGATGGTGTTGCAGAAGTGAGACCGTCAGTCAGGGAAAGAATGGTAAAACTTGGATAATCATCCAAACCGCACACCGCCCACCCACCACACAGGACCGCCTTCTTTCCGAGCGGTTTGCTCGGTCGGTGGCCTCCGTTCTCCGTTCTCCGTGCTCCACTCTCCCCCAACCTCCCCCAAAAGAATTCTGCTCACTTTTTAATAGTTCACAAAAAACCCCCACCACGAAGGAGTGGAGCCTGAACAGTGTTTAATGCTACAAATACTTTGCCGAAGGCGGAATGGGGTGCCTCTGAAATTACGCAGCAGGCGTAATCCGGAAAAGTTCTTCGGCCTCGGTAGTCAAGTTCTTTCCGACTTTTAAATAGTCCGTGAGTATTTGTTTGCCTTTCAACTTTGTGCGGCAAAAGTGTCGTTTCTGCCCCATCAACAGCAATTGCTTCTGCCTCATTTATGATTTTCTATCATAAATGCAAATCATTTTAAGGATATGTACTATTTCATTATGAAAATATCCAAAATATACAAATATTCCAAATCCATTGAAAGTTAATAAACAAATCTTCTTGGGAAGCAGAAGTCAACTCGAGGGACTCAAGTTACTAAATAAACATTTTTGCCAGCATTTGTATGTTTGCCAGCCAGGACTGCAAAAGGAAAAGGCAACTAACCCGTGAGAAAGGATTGGTTGGCTATCCATGGACATGGCCATCAGCTGTTATACTTTCATCCCCAATTTTCACAGTTTATGTTGCAAAATACAAAAAAATAGACAGGGAAAAGTTAACAAAACATTCTAAAATGCTGGCTGACTTTACCATCAAAAATGTTTCTTTAGTAAGCCAGGTCGTCCTGTTCCTGTTTTCTCATTTATTAGAAAAGTTTACGTTTCTAATTTTGGCTTCAAAAATGCATACTTTAAGCTGTTGCTGATGTGTTGTATGTGTTAATGATTAGGACTACAGGATTCATAATGAAGGTAATTAAAAAAGTTTCCTGACATTTGATTGGATTTAAGCCATAGTTTTAAAAACACCTATATTTTGGTGTGTATGAATAAATGTTGAATATTCGTGAGCTAGAAAGATAGTCCCATATGGGGTTGTTTTTACCAATTCACCGTGCTTCTACCAGGTTGGATGCCAACCCCCTTCGGCACTCCGGCAATCTGCTGCGCTCTCCAATCGTTACCTGGCCCCTGATTAATTTAGTCTGGGTCTCACTTTGTTCTGTTTTTCTTTTCAGGCAGGGCTACCCACAGGGTATAGCATGACATGTGTTCTGGTTCTGGAGTTGGGGGCCGAGTGGGTGGTTGGGAGTGTTGGGGTGCATTTCTAAGCGAGTCAAATTGAATGCAACCAAGACCTGTGACATCACAGGTCCAAGGCACGAGTATACCCATGTGTATGCATATACATAATTAGAAAGATGTTGTTTTTTTGTATATTTTTGAGCCAGGAAGTCCGGTAAAATAAAAACAAATAGAGATGCTTTTTATTGCTTGAATTGAAATCAGGAAATGAAGAAACATTTCTTTTTTTTTAGATAAAATCTCATTCTAACTGCGTATGAACATATGTTATATTACCTCACTATCCAGAATGATCCTAAATCAGAGCACTCTCCTTAACTTCATTTAACACCAATATGGTTGAAACAAATCTAATGCCAAATGGCAGAGGAAGCATCTCAAAGGATTCTGGGGAAATTAAAGATATCTGACGGATTTCCATTGTCAGTCTTTTCCGAGACCCTTTCTGCTCGGCAATTGACCGCCTTTGTACTTGACAGAACCAAGGGAGACAGGCCAACAAAAGGAAAATCGTCCTCAAAGGAAATTCAATTTAATGGATTTTAAATGTTCTGTGGGCTCGAACCATTGACTATACCCTGTAAATCCAAAAGGTAACATTAACATTAAATTGTACTTACAAGCCTGAACTGAACAAAACCATAGAAAAACACTACCCCACAGGATGAGTAAGAATAATATATCGATCCATTTATATTCTAGAGTCCTGCTTTGTTTACATATATTATGTATGGATTCCTCACACGCAATTTCGGAAAATATTGATTCATTTTCAACTTCAAAATATTGATATTCGAAAATATGATATAGGATTATAATTATTATTGTTTGAGTTCCTTTTAGAGTCTAGTCTTCCTTCGAATTGATTATCCCATACCTGTCGTCGCCGTTTGGAAAAAACACCCCGAATTGTATGCAATTTTGGAAACACCACCAAAAACGAGAGCGGGAATCAGACCGCCAGACACTCGTAAAGGATTCTTATGAATGAACCAGCCGGAATCACGTAGGGATCACTTACCCGGCACACAGATATACGTTTATTGTTGGCAGTTCACTATTGTGTCCACATATGTAAGTATCTCTTGATAACTATCCTCCTTAATCCGGAAATCACTTTAATTTGAGTTCAAATATCGAAGCCAGACAAAGACCAAAGCACTCGTTATGGCCATTTGAAGGGCCTTTGTTCACTTTAGGCCATGGCCATATTCACCGGCCAGGCTAGCAAAATTCAATTTTGACAATTTTCAAGTGACACTCCACTCGGCGGCACAAAACAACGGAACAACTTCATTCGGATCCACTTGAACCACAACGAGTTTTACAATTGCATCCGGATAGGACGACTCCTAACGTGTGAAGTTGTATACAAATCGGAGCGGAACGGAGCACACTTTCATCCACGTACAGCGACGACAGCAAACTGGTAAGCACGCGACTTTGAGCCACCGGCCAGAGCCAAAACAAGCCACGAGCGCACAGCCGAGCTCGAGGTGGCAGGATGGGAAACGGACATCGAGTCCTCGGGAAAAAAGCGACAGGCGCATGCTGCCGCTGGAGTGAGGAGTGCGCAGAGAGCGAGTGAAATGCTGAGAGAAATGTGATGGTGGTGGGTTGGTTGTTGTTTGTCGCCTGCCAGGGGGGTGGCTCTGGTACCGACTGGAGTGGCTGGGTGGCGGCGGGTGGTTGGGCTCGTGCCATGTTGTGACGCCGTCTGTTGCTAGTTCCAGCTTGCCGGCTAAAGGCTTCCTTCTAACGGCTAAAGCAGGGGTGGAAAGTCTGCTGGACAGTTACCCGAACTGTCTCTCAAATCCAAAGCAAATTAATCCCAAATCTGCATCCTTAAATCTGTGTGCAACCCGTATTGATATTGCATTTGGGATGTGTAACTTGTAAATTCAATATTAAATTGGCTATTTGTGGGGATTGTTACTGTAAGACAATAAATAAATAACAGGCAACTAGTGTTGATGTTTGTAATGAAAAGAAAATATTGCAAATTTAAACACAAATTTATTTAATGAATATTAAAATGCTCTTTAAAAGCATTTCACTTATGACAATTGTCGTTATAATCAAATCTCTATATTCCATTGGAATAAAGGTGTCTATTTGCAATACCGATCTGCCTTCATTTTGCTTCTTCTGTCTAAAAGAGCTTCATGCAAGGATCCTTGTGATTTGGCGTCTTCCAGTTCCTTGATGCTGTTTTGGTTAATACGCATCTTTTTATCTTGGAATTTCTGGAACTTTTTCCTGTAGGATTAAAGAGTTTTAAGGATATAATGATTACAAATCAAGAGGAATATTAAAACATACACATAATTCCTTTCAACTTCGCCTAGGTCACCCTTTTCCTCTTTGGGCTCCGTGTCCACGACCACATCTCTTGAAGCATTACTCCGCACTTTGCATACTTCATGTTCGCCAACCTTTTTCCTTAGCGCCACACAAGCATCGTCTTCGGGATCAATGGACATAAAGTGTCCCGTTTCCGATAACAGAGCCATTCGGTTATCCTATATCAGGAGGATTTTAGTTTCGGAAAAGAATAACGAATTAAAATCTGTATAAACACCTCAAATACTGGCTCCCATTGTTCCATGCTGCCAACAGCTTCAGATCGTCCCGTGACCATGCCGTCTTTTTCAATCTTCAGATATTTTCCATAACCTGATTTGAAGGAAACTTTTCGGTCATTGACCGGGAAGGCCGTAAATATCTCTTCAGGATCAGGGCCATCTCCAGCATTGTGTGGTGCGCCCAGGGTAAACAAACTGAAAATTATCCTTTCAATTAAAGCCATACTTGATTAAAAACAGAGAATGGTATACCCATTATCCAAAGCCTTCAGATAGGAGCGATCTCCAAATTCGATGGAAACAGTGCCAGTGATGTCTGCAGCTGTCTTGGCCGACCACCAGCCGCCATGCTCCACTGCGTCCTCATCCACCACGACCTTAGGTTTCTTCGAAGATCCCGGTTCATCTTTTTCCTTCTTACGTTTCTTGCTTTTCCTGAAAACACGCATGTTTAATACAAATATAATTGCCAAAATATATTATTATGTACTAACTTGTGTTTTTCACCCTTTAAAACAAGTTTCTTGATGCGTATATTGTCATAATCAGACATAGTAACACCAATATTTTATTAATAAAGAAATAAACAAATGTTTTTTGGTTGTGCGGAAAAATATAAACAATACACATACGCTTTGGGGATGGGAAATATATTGTATGTATCGATAACTTTTTTTTATAAACTACCGATATACCGATAAAATATAATATTCAAAATTTTAAATAAGGTTTACCTTAATTTTTGAAAAGATGTTTTTAGTTTTTTACATTAATACTTTTAATATTGAGGTTTAATATTGGTTTACAATTTAAATCAATAAATAATCGCAAGTAGTGTTAAGCTTAACACTTTTTTTCATAATTTAACTTAAATTATAATAAATACATCTTAAATATTAAATGTAATAAGCCTATATTGGAATTATTTGACTTCAAATACTTTGGAAAGGCATTGGCAAAAAAGCAATTAGTACACATAAATAGAATGTTTGTAAATAGGATTTCGTGGTACATAGAAATCAGGTCCTTTACATATATCCTTCCACAGACACATTTTGCCACTGGCCCTGAAATCAAAAAATATATTCTATAATTCGGTTAAAAAAATGTATATTGAAATACTTACTGCAATGCCAAGGTTCCAACCAACACCGGCAGGATTCTCTTTAGTGATCCCGCACCGCTTGCAAATGACGCCATTAAGGGAAATGGCCCATACCTCGGAACCTACAGACACCGATCGAAAACCACAGTGCTGTTCCGTGTGCGGTGGTACATTGGCGGCATTGGGTAGGAATTGCCAGTGGGATCCTTCCGGAAAGGTCTTGGAGATCTCTTTCCTTACAGCCAGGCGCTGTTGGTTGTCCAGAGCCCAGATACCCGCGCGTCCAACACTTATTGCCTTGAAGGTGACTCCGGCAGGAGCCTCAACCTGCTGCCAGGCATCACCGCACGGATTTTGTTGGCTGATTCCGTACCGAAAGAATACCATGCCGTTCCGAGCTACTGTCCAAACCTGACCAGTAGGCCCAACGCTGATCCCTACGAGCGGCTGGTCGCTGACGATGTGCTCCCAGGCTTCACCTCGCGGATTCTGACTGCATACTCCATGTCGGATGAGTACATCGCCATTGGAGGCGATGGCCCAAGCAGCTACTACTTGGTTTCGGTCGCCCTGGCCACTGTCCACATCATCATCCAACACCTAAAAGGATTTAAATTACAATTGGGAACAAATTTTGAAAAATATATAGTACCTGCAAAGCAGCGTCAAGGATCTTGGACTGACTGAGCTCCTGCCATGGCCCGCTACTGGTAAGCCGGCATCGCTTCATCCACCTTCTGCGCCGCACACAGTCGGTGAGTTTTTTATGGGCATGGTAGTTGGCAGGAAAGTCGATGGCATACTGCCAACCCTCCTTGTCGGCACCCCCGGGAATATTGTAGTCAATGGCCCAGTCGGAGATCCACTCGCAGTGCGTGGACAGCAGTTTGGTGTGCTCCTTGCTGCGTTTCTGCCGGCCAGTGACATCGCTCCACATGTGCCGGTCTGTGGGCAAGCTCTTTGCAGTAAATCCACTGATGGGATTCCATCGTTGATTCTCGTACACATAGTAGGTGTGCGTGTCAATCATGGCGTTGATTTTTCCGGAGCCCTCCAAGCCCTTCAGGAACATGCCCCCCCAACCGCCGTTGTAGACCCAGGCGGTGTTGTCACATGAGATACCCCAGACCACATCTGCCCCACTATTAAAGACTCGTCTGACGTGGCCACCCATTTGCCGCCAGTGCATCCGCTCCATGGATATGATAGGCGAGGGACAGCGGTACAACACACTAAAAAGCTTAATACGCCCACTCACGTACAGCCGGGTCACGCTCTCCGGATCAATGCGGTACTTGTAGTCCGTGTAAACCGCATTATTCACAATGATCAGGTAATGATCCGGCAGAGCCCTACAAGAGTACATCGTTAGTTTCCGTTGGACAGAGATGCGACGAAGGTAACTCACTTTATTTTCAAGGTAAATGTTGCTCCTGGTGCAAAGACCATCTTGTCGTTACGAATCTCGTCCAGCCACTCGGATTCCTTCATAGAATTGAGGACAGTGGTGCGCTCATTGAAGCGGGGATTCAAATGAAAGGCTATAACACGATGCTTCTCCACGCGATGTGGTTGCACTTTAATCGTGTAGTGGGATTGGAGATCGAAACGAATTTGATCAGCATCGTCATATACGCAGCCGGAAATCTCCAGTTCAGTACCAAATGGCATTCTAAAAATAAAGGGGTACATACATTAAAGAAAATAATTAACAGATCATCATCACCCACTAACCCATTGTAGAGAGTGTTAAAGTAAGGAGTCTCACAAGTAGAGACGTCCATCTTTTCCATGTACCCTTCGCCAGGTTCGGAAGTTTGCTGAGCCTTCATGTTGGCCGCGTCAAAGACGAACACATCACCCAGTTCGCTGGTCAACCAAATGGCATTGCTAGCCGGTTTTCCAATCAACGAATTCATTTGACTGCAAACGGAGGAGAGATGGGAAAGCCAATCCTCCATCTCAGAGTCGCTGGAGAACTGCAGCTTCACCGGAGAGCAGTTGACTGGCAGGTGGGGTGCATGAATAGCAATCCTTGGAGATCCGGCTTCACTGCAGCACTGCACGCAAGTGATGTCAGACAGGGGGAACTGAATCTTGGTGGCCGCACCATCCGGACTAAGAACCGTAAAAGTTCCCGAATCACCTGACTGCGAGGTGTTTCCACTACCACTAACCCACTCAAGTTCTATGACACAGTCCTCGAACTCTCCACCAGGACGCTGGTATCGAGCATCGGCCGATTTAACCCAAGAGGACAGTTCCACCGCCTTCTCGAACTTGGCCACAGTCTGCAGTTTGGCCAGCCTTTCCTGCCTACGCTGCAGTTTACTGAGAATGTCCTTCCGCCAGTTGGCATTCACGTCCACTTTACTATCACTGGCCGACTGCTCGTTGAACCAATTGGGCATGTTGCTGGTATCTACCGTCACTGCTCCTGGTGCCACGCAACTCCAAAGAATACCACACTCGGTCCAGAATTGTGAGCCCGTATGGTCGTCGTCCTCTCCCAAGAACACATCCGATCCGTGGTGAGTCGAGTCTGATTCGAATACTGCTGAATCCGATTCCGGATGGGCTTCCATGCCCACAACGGAGCCAACACTACGCACTGGCGACCAGGCACGTGGATTTCTTAGCTGCGTTTCGAATTTGCCAGTGATCTCCACCACATCAGCTGCCGGAGCGCTGGAGGCGTGTGACGTTTCTCGCAGAGCAGCTGTGCGCTGCTTGTGCCGATCGTTCAGATTCAAGCTCCCAATTGTGGGGGGAGAGTCGGCGCTGAGTTTCCAGCGCTCGTTTTTAAGAAGACTAGGACCGCCATTGCTGGCACAAGAGCCGGTGGAACTGTGCAGTACCGTTTCAATAACTGCGCACGTCTCCACGACGCCCTTTTCCTTCTCCTTCGAGTACAGATTCGAAAAACTCTGGTGCTTGGAGCCCGGAGTAGAGCTGCTGCCTCCACTCTTACGGGAGACAATCGAGAGAGAGCTGGAAGTGCGACTAATTTGCATGGGGCACTGAATGAGGCGCCACTTTTTGCCCGTGGGATCGGCCGCGGAGACTCCTGAGCGGTGGTATAAGCATCGATCCGCGGCACCAACGGCAAAGACCTGAGAGAGTATTGTTTATTATGATTATCATATCCTTCTAAGGAGAAGTACCCACCTGATCGTTCGCCGCCACGGAAATCATAGAGATGTTGCCAACCATTTCCACCCAGCCCTTGCCTATGGCCGAATCTTCGCTTATCCCAGCTGCCTCTCCTTTGATGCCCCTCCTAAACCAGGCATGGTTATCGTTGGTGACACACCACACGGCATCCGTACCGACGGAAACGTGGACGATACGAAGGGTTGTGGCTGCCACAGGAGTCTTTACATCCAGCCACGCCTCCCCCGACAGATTATCCCGGGTCACGCCGGTCCGAACTATTACGCGCCCGTTGTACAAAACCGCCCAGACCAAGCCGGTTGGTCCCACGCTTATTTGTGACAGCTCACTACCTGTCGGGGTGGGCACGGCAGTCCAACGTAGGCCCTCGGGTGCGGTCTTGGACACACCTGTGCGAAACATCGCCCTACCGTGAGCGGTGATTGCCCAAACACATAGAGTGCCAGCTGGGGCGTTGGGAACATGGGTTCCTCCAATGGCCACGTCGATGAATGGCTCCTGGGTGGGATCCTTGTGCAGTGGAGCAACAGCGCACCAGCTGTTTAAAGCAGCATAGCGCCGAAAGCGAATCCACTTCCTCCGACGGACATACGAGTTCCACGATTTCTTAGCCGAATAGGAAGCAGGAAAATCTAGGGCGTACATCCAGCCATCTTCTGGCAGTTGCTGTCCATCAAGCTCAAGATCCAGATGCCAGTCACCATCCCATTGCCAAGCCATCGAGGGCAGGCGAATTTTGTCCACACTCCGCTCCACGCTTCCATCCGCCGAGGAGTATTTGTAGCGATCCGTGGGAAGCAGGGTTTTCGAGAATCCTTCGATTGGGAGCCATCGTTCGTTCTCGTAGGATTCTTCCCTTATCCTAATGGGCACATCCAAGCCGTGAACATGCACGTACACTTGTCGGTCACCGCCTATGGCCCATAGGAAATTGGGAACAGCGCAGATCTTCTTGAACTCCAGTCCCAGATAGGGAAGTTCCCGCCAGGCTGCTGAGCTGGTGGACAGCGTATAAACACGTCCCTCGCTGCTGGCGGCAAACAAATATGAGCTGGGCATGGTGGCGTATTTAAAAAAGCGTTTTCTCCTCTCTTTGTCTCACATTCTGTTTACAATTGGGAAAAATTGATTTTTCATATCGCGCACCAAGTCTACATCAACAACCCATTTCTTATCAGTATATCGATAAATCGATAACGATAATTTGATAACGTTTTGTTTTCACTGTTTTTGACAAATGTAATGAAATAAACTTCAAATAATTGACACAAACTCTGAAAGTTGGAACAAAACATAAAGTCCATAAAGTACAAAGTCATATGTAAGCAATTATAAAACATAAAATTATCACAGTAGTCGACCGTACGACTTGAAGTGTGACCAAACGAGAGCGGTGTTTTAATGTTTGAGTACTGTGGTCACGCTACAAACAAGAGACCGAACGCCAGCTAAATTTTACATTGATTTTGAAAATTATGGTAAAATTCTAAATAATTTTCCTTCCAAAACGTCAAAGTGGAGAGCACAATTGGAGGAAATATTGTATTAGAATAATTGTACGGCAGCTGGAAGAAGCAAAAGACCATATCTTTGGTGTGGCGACGTTCGACGCATAAAAGCAAAAACGAGCAAAAGCACGCGCAGGCCGACGTCTGTCACATCAGCTGCTGGCGCTGCCAGGATTTCCCCGAACCGACATCTCCGGCCGTAAGGACCACCGTAGTGTCCGTGTCCGAGTCCAGAGCCGAGTTCTCTCCCCAGCAGCCGGTGTTTCTTCGTGCAGTGAAGTAGTAAAACTCACATACATACAGGGGGTACAAACGTTCATAAAAGCGAGTATTCACATATCTACGCACGTATTGTTATGTAGGCTGTGCGTATATATGCGCTATATGTATCCCCCGATATCCTGTGCATCCCGTGAAACTGTCAAGTTGCAAGGTTGGGCGAAAAATCGCAGCCTGTGCTATCAGAAAACTCCCCTGGAATAGCAGCAATAGTCATAATTTATTGTAACCCCACCGAACTACTGTGTCCCTATAACATTTTGGTTTGTTTCTCACCCCCAAAAAACAGTTAACCACCTTGACGCTATAGTAAACTGGTCTCATCACAAAACCCAGCGGTAAGTGCATCCGATATACATACACCTATATAGATATATATACCAATTCAGAAAATTGTTCGTATACCCACACAGATCCTAAAAGAATCAAAACTCTCGGTGGCCTGCTGGGGAGGACACAGGCGGATAAATCTGGAAATCACATCACAATAAGTCATGCCACGGGGTAAACGCCGAGCTGCAGATATCGGTGACAACATGGATGGTCAATCGAAGAGAGCCCGTACCAGCTACACCAGCATACCAACACAACAGAGCAGCAGGTGAGCCGACTGAACAGCATTTTAGGGATATGGAATAGTAGGGATAGGGATAGGGATAGGGGCGGGGACGTTGTACACACAAAAAGGAAAATAACAATAAGCAGGTCGTATCATCTGTTCAGAGAATCATCTGATTTCCGGTGTAGAGATTTTCGGCCAATATTCAATGCCAAAAAGTGGATACAAAAATGCCATAAGTGGAATAGATAAAAATATATAGAAATAGATAAACAATTAAGAATCTGATAAAATTTTAAAGTAGATATTTTTTCATTTAAAGAAAGAATTAGGTTTTAAAAAAGAATATTATAAAAACAGGTCTGAAATGAACTTTAAATTCATTTTATTCCCAACATTTATAATGAAGTTTAATTTCAAGATTGTTTGAAATTATTTAAATAATCTAAATAAACTATACAATCTTTAATTTTGTATTGATTGTATTGATTAGTCAAAAAGAGCCTTGCCTTATCAAAAAGATAACGAATAACTAATCAATAAAAGCTATAAATATTTTAAATAAAATCTAACATATCGGAGTCTCCATTTAAAAGTCAATTTTGTTCAGCAGGCATCAGATTTTATTTTCATATTTTTTTTTTTTGTCAACTCTTTAATACTAATTATATAAACAAAAGCCTTTCCCCACTCATATCTTTCCTTCAATATTTCAATTGGCAAAGAGACAAACTTGTAATGTAATGAATGTTTTTAGAGGTGGTGCAGGAGAGAGATTTCATTTCAAAAATGTGTCATATAAAACGAGTATTCAGTAGTAGGTGTTTCGATCAAATTTATGAAACAGGAGAGTATAAGATTCGGATATGACGTCGTCCACTGTGCCAACATTGGTCTTTCGCCAAGCATTAATTGCCTGTTTAAAATAATAATTTTGTTTTCGGTTAGTCATGTTATATATTCATGAACATATATATATATATATTAACATTTAATAATCATATATGGTGCACTATTATTTTATACTTTAACAATATGGAAGACATTTGCATTTCTCATATATGTATCTTTAGTTACTTTCTCAATTATCTCGTAAACTGCCCCGGACAATTCTTAATTTTAAAATTATAGGACTACAGGGATTGCAATAGATCCAACAAACGTGGGGGATATGTGTAGACAACGATATGATCAAATAGTTGAACGAAAACGAACGCTTTACTTCATAGTCTGCCCCAATCTCCTCCTCACTCCATTGATCCGTACTGGACCTTCTTGATTTTGAAGTACCTGCGAAAGCGAATCCATTAGCATATTCATTTGATGAGGTGGTTGAAATGGGTCTTACCTCCAGCCGCCGTAGCCAGATATGGTTAGCAGTACGGCGATGGCCAGGGCAGTTCCCACGGCCAGGGGCGCCGTCTCGTCGCGATAAGATCCGGTGGCGCTGCAGTGGAACGACGGGCCCCACTTGCCGCTATCCTTGAACATGAAGCTCTGCATGTGCATGTCGCGCAGATAGAGACGGGCTATATGACCGGATTGGTCGCCGGAATCGTGGGGGGCGTACATAATCACAGTCTGTTCCTTGTCGCAAACGTAGGACTTGCCGACCGGCGTCGGGAAGTACATGGGTGTCTGGGCGGGAGAGGTTAGTTTGACGTCCAGTCCTGGGCGATCGGGGTGCTCGAACAGTGTATTGGAGGAGGAATAGGTTAGCTCGAACAGGTTGATATACCAACCCTCGCCGCCAGATGACTAGAAGAGAAGTTTACTTGTAAGGATATTTTTAAAAACAAAAAACTGGAACCTAATTTATAATTTAAGCAACTTTTCAAATTACTTTTTGAGGCAGGTATCGATGCCAACCTTTGACCTTAAGGGTGGCATTTCCACCGCATCAACCCACGCACCTTTTTGAATGTCATGGACAAGCGGAAACCTTTAAAGTCCATGGTCAGAATCTCCAGATTCGACTCGACGCACTCGCCACTCAACTGGGGGTCGTCCGGCATATACAGATCCGCCTCCACGTCCTCGTTCAGCTTGTTGCGATACTTGATGCTGATCAAACCGTCCACTTGCATCAAGATGCAGGTAATCCCGTTGGTGGCATTAAAGCGATACAGCGAGGCAGTAGCATCGTGATTCATCGACGAGGCCTACCAGCGAAATTAGGTTTAATTGGATTGGGGAGGAGAGGAGGACTTAGTTAGTTGGGGTTAGCTTACCGATGGCGATTTGGTTGTGTACTTGCTGACCCTTGGCGTTTTGGTTGAGAAGACGGGCAGCTGTAGCCCGTGGGCGGCAGTTGCTAAACCAAACCAACAAAAAAAAAAAAAAATCAAGTTTCAAAGGTTGCTGCACACGATTCACAGGTTGTTCGTCGTCATCCAGTTTAATTCATTTTTCAGTCAGTGTGTCAGAACCCGTCCTCGACAGTATCGATTTTTGGGACGGACTCCCCCCCAACAGTCCCCCACCATCATCACCATGAACCGAATCTCTCGCCCCAAGAGTATCTAATGCTTACCAAAAAGTGCCAGGAGCGATGAGATAACAATGGCTATGTTCCCCAATCCTTGTAGCCTGGACAGGGACTTGTCGAAGGTGATTAGTTTCATCTTAGTTGGGGAACCCTTTTTACACTCTACTCTGGTCGATTCCAATGACAATTTTACTCTGCAGTCTCGGCACAACGCAACTACGACGTGTTTCCTGTTTCGGCTCCTGCGCACAACTGGCCCATATAAATTCCGACTGCTCCTGGAGCAGTCTTCTGAAATCCACCCACTGCTAGTCAGGACTAAAATAAGCCCCCAATTACCCCATTCCCCCCACCAGTGATGGGACTTCACTCTCGCTTTTGGTCTGCGCAGTCGCCGGTGATGGGACGCTGAAGCAGATGTGGACACATACATGTATCAGTGCACCGAAAGAAATTGGGGGGATAGAAATTATTATACCTTCCCTAAAACATATATCTACATAGTTAATAAAACTGATCTGATATTTATGATGGAAATATAGTGTTTTCTCTATACTCTATATTCTCATAAAATACTAGTTCGTTGGCCTTTAATTAGTACTATGTTGCACTTTCTTCTTCTCAATTCTATATGTCATATCTTGGTTGGCATTATTTTATTTTTGTTTGTTTCCCAGAGCGCCGGTGCTCTTGACAATGGCCTCGTCTCTGCTCTGCCATGTTTACTATCGCTATTTTTAGGAACCAACATTCAGATAGAAACCCCTGAGAAATGAGACAAAGTCGAATACAATAAACAAAAAGAGGCCATCAGTAGTCAGCGATAGATTCGATTAAAACTCTGGTCTCTAAATTCTTAAAATTGTAGAAAATTCTTAAAAACTTAGATGATTCTAACCAATGGCAGAGTGGGTCTAAAAAAACTTATACCATAAAATACAATAATATTACATCTCTTAACTTCAGACGCCATATCAGAGCAGAGGATGGATTCAGTCAAAAGCGATGTCTGACATGGTTCCAAGAATACACTACTCCCGACGAACCAGAGACACTGGGTAGGTTCCTCAAGTAGCATTGTGAAAGTGCCCAGGTTTACATAACTGTTGGTATCTTAATCAGGTCCCGACGGTATGGAGAAGTTTTGCGAGGATATCGGCGTGGAGCCCGAGAACATTGTGATGCTGGTGCTGGCCTACAAAATGGGCGCCACCCAGATGGGCTTCTTTAGTCAACAAGAGTGGCTGAAGGGTCTCACAGATCTCGAGTGCGACTCGGCAGCGAAAATGGTTGTGAAACTGGACTATCTGCGCAGCATACTCAACGATCCCAACTCCTTCAAAAGCATCTACAGATACGCCTACGATTTTGCCAAGGTGAGTAGGAAGTAATTCTCAAACAAGGCACAGAATCAAATAAATCTTTATTCTATATTCCAGGACTCTGATCAACGAAGTATGGATATTCTTACAGCCAAGGCCATGCTGCAGTTGTTACTCGGCAAGCACTGGCCGCTATATCCGCAGTTCGCACAGTTTCTAGAGCAATCAAAGTACAAGGTGATCAACAAGGATCAGTGGTGTAATATTTTAGAGTTTTCGCGCACCATCTGCATTGACTTGTCCAATTACGATATAGACGGGGCATGTAAGTACACCATACTGTGATCTTAGACGTTTATACTATATGGTTTATCATTTTAGGGCCCGTCATGTTGGATGAGTTTGTGGAATGGCTGCGATCGCAGCGGAGTCTGGCAAACTCGAGTCCCGGGTCCAGCTGAGAGATGCTGTATCAAGTCGCCTATTTCTAGTTCAACTTTTGGGAGCAAGATCAGTGCGGAGGAGTAGGAGTCAATGGAAGAAGTTGCGGTACGAATCAAAGGCGGATTATTTGTGGCGAAGAAGAGCAAAACTAAAGGATACACTCACAGCGGAACTCGCACCACACAATGGGCCAATCATACCCAAAAAAACAGAAAGCCACACCCACTCAACCACACGGAAATATAAGGCATTTGGAGAGACTGGCATTAACACTGGCAAAGCAACCAACTATGAAACTAAACTATTGATAATATATTTAATGTAATAATTTATGTATTAACGACAACTAAAAGCTAAAACCACAATTCTCTAATCTTAAGGAATCCATTGAAGAATTGAAAGAGAAAAGAAAAACAATAACAAAAAAAGGAAAACAGCAACAAGAGCCAAAATGGGGGCAGCTTGTAAAAAGTAAACCCAGAAGAATGTAACGATGGCAATAACCAAGAGACCCCCAATAGATCTAAAAACATAGAACAAACAATTAAGCAATTCAAGAGAAACCCGAAAATCAACAAAATATCAGCAGCAATGTCAAAATCTATAAAAAAAAGATCAACACCAATACTGGGGCAGTCATAGTCGTTATTAAATCAATGTAGAAAAACAATATTTGGGGATTAATTAATAAAAATATTAAGTGAACAAATAGGCTTGTGTTTTAATTTTAATAATTTGGGCCTGGAATTGGAATTCGTTGAATTTTAAAAATAGATTAGGAGGAAAATATGAAAATTTAAACTTCTAACGGCTCCAATTACGTTTTACAACCCTAACCGATAACGACTTTCGTAACAAATATACCAGAAATTATCGATAGAAGTTTACAAATCCAATAATTGAAAGTAATTATTTTTTATATTAATAATATTTCATTCTAACTAAAATCAATAATTGGAACAAATTTTGTACAATTTTCATCCAATTTTTATACAAATATTCAAATAACAATTTAAACCGTAACGGATAAATTTCATCTTTACCAACACTAGCCACCAATTCTATGGGTGACATTGGCATTTACCACCTCTACATTCACAGCATTTTCAAATAAATCGAACGGTTCCGCGCGTTCTCCGCTTTGCGTCTGTTTTCTGAGCCATTTCGCTGTTGTCGGGCCAAGGGCCTAACTTAAAACTGAGTGCTGCTTTTCCTGTCAATCGTGTGGATCTCGCAAGGCGCTCCTTTTCCCTCCCCAGTAGCATTCAGTGTGATAAAATTGGCATCAGTCGACGCGCAAAGGAATTTTTCGCGATCACCTCGAGAACGCCAGTGCAAAAAGGAGCCCCAAAAGTAAAAAGTCTGCCGCAAGATGGCCGCAAAGCCCGACGATAAGAGCTCGGATATTCCGGATCGCCTGTATGATTCCAACCAGCGAAAGACCTACAAACGCATGCGGTTCTTTGGAAAGGTGAGTGCGGAAGTGGAATATGAAAGAAGTTCCTGTGGCGTCCATGCATGCGGCTGTGTCCTCAGCCAGCTATCGTTTTTTGTCTCCTTTGCGCCCTTTCGTTCCTTTGTTGTTGTTGCCCGAGGAGCATGTGTCTGTATGCGTGAGAAGAAAGAAGGAGCAGAAGAGAATGCAGGCAGTTGTTTTTTTTTGTATTAAGTTTTGGCGCGACTTCAGTGTCTTAAAAATTAATTTCCACAAGATACATAACTTGATTGCTATTTATTGAAGAGTTAGGCGTTGGCTACAAGTCTGAAATGAAAGTAACAAATTTTTATATCCTTCTAGGGTGGTTTTGCCAAATGCTATGAAATTATTGATGTGGACACCGACGACGTGTTCGCCGGCAAGATCGTTTCCAAAAAGCTGATGATCAAGCACAATCAGAAGGAAAAGACAGCTCAGGAGATCACCATCCACCGCAGCCTTAACCATCCGAACATCGTCAAATTCCACAGCTACTTTGAAGATCCCCAAAACATATACATTGTGCTGGAGCTATGCAAGAAACGGGTAAGTAATATCATCACTCTAATAGACCAATTATTTAATTAATCCTTTATTGGCAATATTAGTCGATGATGGAGCTGCACAAGCGGAGGAAAAGCATCACGGAGTTCGAGTGCCGGTACTACATCTATCAGATTATTCAGGGCGTCAAGTATCTGCACGACAACCGGATCATCCATCGTGATTTGAAGCTGGGAAATCTCTTCCTGAACGATATGTTGCATGTGAAAATTGGTGATTTCGGTCTGGCTACACGCATTGAATACGAGGGCGAGCGGAAAAAGACTCTGTGCGGAACGCCCAACTACATTGCCCCGGAGATCCTCACAAAGAAGGGCCACTCGTTTGAGGTGGACATCTGGTCGATCGGCTGTGTCATGTACACGCTACTGGTGGGTCAACCGCCGTTTGAAACCAAGACTCTGAAGGACACCTACTCGAAGATCAAGAAGTGCGAGTACCGGGTACCCAGTTACTTAAGAAAACCAGCTGCCGATATGGTTATTGCCATGCTGCAGCCGAATCCAGAGAGCCGACCTGCCATCGGTCAGCTGTTGAACTTTGAGTTCCTCAAGGGATCAAAGGTGCCCATGTTCTTGCCCAGTTCTTGTCTCACGATGGCTCCACGTCTTGGTAACAACGAAATCATCGAGGACTCTATCCATCGTAAACCGCTATCAGAGATGAACGGCATTAGAGACGATACCCGGCTGGAGTCTACATTCCTTAAAGCCAATCTTCATGATGCCATCACAGCCTCGGCACAGGTGTGTCGCCACAGCGAGGACTACCGCAGCGATATCGAGAGCCTATACCAGCAGCTCACTAACCTCATCAATGGAAAGGTAATTATCAATTATAATTCTTATCTTTTATCTTATTCTTATCTTATCTTTTCTCGCTTCTAGCCACGCATTCTGCAAGGAAACCTGGGCGACGAGAACACAGACCCAGCAGCTCAGCCTCTTTTCTGGATTTCCAAGTGGGTGGACTACAGTGACAAATATGGCTTCGGGTACCAGCTATGCGATGAAGGCATCGGCGTGATGTTCAACGACACCACCAAGCTTATCCTACTGCCCAACCAGATCAACGTGCACTTCATCGACAAGGATGGAAAGGAGAGCTACATGACCACCACCGATTACTGCAAATCGCTGGACAAGAAGATGAAGCTGCTGTCGTACTTCAAGCGCTACATGATCGAGCATCTGGTGAAGGCGGGCGCCAACAACGTGAACATCGAAAGCGATCAGATCTCGCGTATGCCTCATTTACACTCTTGGTTCCGAACAACCTGCGCCGTGGTGATGCACCTCACCAACGGATCCGTGCAGGTAAATGAAAGTCCCATACATAAAATATTCATTATTTAACCACTCATTTGTCATTTCAGCTCAACTTCTCAGATCACATGAAGCTTATTCTGTGCCCGCGCATGAGTGCCATAACTTATATGGATCACGAAAAGAATTTCCGCACCTACCGTTTCTCTACCATCGTAGAGAACGGAGTGTCTAAGGATCTATACCAGAAGATCCGCTACGCCCAGGAGAAACTTAGGAAAATGCTGGAGAAGATGTTCATTTGATTGAGGCCGGCAATCTATCATTGTAAGGTCAAACTTAAGTTTAAGTCAAGTCCCCATGGCTTTTGGCAGACATCGTCTATAGCCGCCCACGAATCACCAATCCACGAATCTTTAAAATTATAGTTTCTGTTTAAATTTTTTACGCTTGTTCTATGTTTATATAAAGTTTTATTGTTTTCGCCTTGTCTTCATTTGCCGATTATCAATTCATACATTTTATACAATGTTGGGCCAACCTTCAAAAATATATATCTGTTTTATGGTTTTCGAACAAACTTAATAAAATTAAAAGGAGATTTTTCCAAACCAATTAAATCGTGGCTGAAGAAAAACATATTTCCATTTTGCCTCCAGCTGACTGATGAACAATTTATATGCTGGAAACATTATATTCCCATTTATCATTTTAATTTGCAGTGCAGATTGGATGAAAATTGTAATAAATAGAAATTGTCAAAATATTTCACAATTTTTCTCATAGATACATGATAGAATTAAGTTTGTAACTATTTACGAATCACAAAGCGAATAATAAACGATTTAATAAAGTATTAACAAGCAAAAACTGATTTCTGATTAAAAATAAAAGAAATTCAAAAATATTTAACTCCTTTTTTGTGAAAATTGAATTGTAACAGTTTTCTGATTGGAATGTGTAACGAGTATCAAATATCGATAAACGGTGTGCGATAGGCACTAGAAGCATCGACCCAATCGATATGAAACTTGCGCATATTGATTTTATTTTCCTGCAGAATTAAAGATTCCAATACGTACACACTCGTAAAATCTGCGAAAATCCAGACAAAGCCGAAAAAAATCGTAACTTTTAGATGCGATAAGTGGCGAGGAGAGCGTTAGTCCTCGAGATACATATACAACATGGGTGATAACGAGCAAAAAGCGCTCCAGCTGATGGCCGAGGCCGAGAAGAAGTTGACCCAACAAAAGGGCTTTCTTGGGTCACTATTCGGGTTCGTATCTTGTATAGTTTGCCACGGCAGTGAGATAGAAAATACGTTTACATCAAATAAAATGGATTTCAAGCTATGATTTCATATAATACCTATTTTTCCCATAAAAATCTACACCTGTATCTATGTATAGTTGTTTCACACACCCCACTTTGAGAAACAACGCAAAATGTTGATTTTACATTATCATTGCCTATATCAGGTTATGCTGAAATACATATATTCAAATATAGATAAGCCATAATTCAACTCTTCCACGCCAAAGGTTAAATGATACATACAAGGTATTTGTTTGTTGGCGATAACTTTCCAATGTGTAGGATGATTCATAGTTTTCAAAAGTTTTAACTACCATTAATAAACAATTTAATGAAATTGGGTATAGGCCCAATATCTATTATAAAATTCCGATTAGATGGCTTAATAATTATAAGAAAAAATTATACAAAAATATAATTTAACAAAATTATCATTCTTATATTAGCGGCTCCAACAAGGTTGAAGATGCTATCGAGTGCTACCAACGTGCTGGCAACATGTTTAAGATGTCCAAGAACTGGACAAAGGCTGGCGAATGCTTCTGCGAGGCAGCCACTCTACACGCCCGGGCCGGAAGTCGCCACGATGCTGGAACCTGCTATGTGGATGCCTCGAATTGCTACAAGAAGGTGGATGTGGAGAGCGCCGTCAATTGCCTGATGAAGTCCATCGATATCTACACGGATATGGGCCGATTTACGATGGCTGCCAAGCATCACCAGAGCATTGCCGAGATGTACGAGGCTGATCCCCAAACTCTGGTAAGTAAACATGGGAGTTTCGTTTGATATAAAGCTTATTTGTGTTATCTATATCACAGGCTAAGTCAATTCAGCACTACGAGCAGGCGGCTGACTTCTTCAAGGGCGAGGAGTCTGTCAGTTCGGCCAACAAGTGCATGCTAAAGGTGGCCCAGTATGCCGCTCAGTTGGAGGATTACGAGAAAGCAATATCTATCTACGAGCAAGTGGCTGCCTCTTCATTAGAGAGCTCTCTGCTCAAGTACAGTGCCAAGGAGTACTTCTTCCGGGCTGCCCTCTGCCACCTGAGTGTGGATTTGCTCAACGCCCAACACGCCATCGAGAAGTACGCGCAGCAGTACCCAGCATTCCAGGACTCCCGAGAGTTCAAGCTTATTAAGGTAATACTATATTAGCTACATAATCCACAACCATTTAACCCTGATTTTTCCACTATAGGTGCTGTGCGAGCATCTGGAGGAGCAGAACATTGAGGGATTCACAGAAGCAGTCAAGGATTACGATAGCATCTCCCGACTGGATCAGTGGTACACCACAATTTTGCTTAGAATCAAGAAGGCTGCGGACGAGGATCCAGACTTGCGATAAAATAATCAATTACACTCTCTGATAAAGTCACATAAACATTTATTAAATGCTTTATTCGGTTCGGATATTAATCTACCTATATATAACTAAAAGAAAATTATTAAACGTGTTGCATTGCTAAACCTGAAGGCACCCAATGATAAAAAAAAAATACAAAATTAAAATAGCCTGCTTAACCGCGCGAGGATACTTACTGAATAGTCCATAAACCCATACTCTATAGGTAACATCTATCTCATGCAACGAATGAAATCAGAGCAAAAGCCACGGTTCATCTAGCTATTTGGTTACGTTTTCATTTCCTATATTGTGCGAGTTAAGGAATTGGATGTGACACTGTTATTTTTGTCTGTTTTTGATTTGTGTTACTCTTGTTATTTGTGAAACTAGCCAAATATTGAATTAGCTGCTGTTTTATTTGAATGCGTTAAAGGCCCTTTAGAGAACCTTACCACCAAACTCAAAACTATTTAATACTTTATATATGTGTGTTAGATTATTTACGAAACGTCCCTGGTAGTGATCGAGAAAGAGGTTAAAATTATATTTCCATTTACTGCACTCAGAAAAGTAAACAAAAAACCAATACGTTTAGATTGTACGCAATACACTATGAATGAATAAAATGTATGTCCATATAAGCATTACAGATTATCCCTATAAATATCCAAAAACAAAGGAAAAGGAATTCTTATAAATATTTGAGGGTCACATTTATAGAAATTCCATCTCGAAAAATTTTAAAAATGTTTAGTAGATCAAATTCCTATAAACATGTACGAAAAAGAGTTATAATCCAATAAATAAACTTACGAAGGAGCTAACAAGTTTTGTGGCCATCATGGGGCCGGAACAAACAATATCAATATATTTATTAAACAATTAATCCATAAACTAATACTATACAACACAATCCAACTATAACACCCAAAGCAAATGAAAAAGATCTGGGTAATGCCAGTAAGCGTGCATTACTCTAGATAATTCAAATTTAAAATACATTAATAAAGTTACATGCTTGGATTAATCTTGTCTTCGCATCAAACGATTTTATCAATATACGCACAACCGATCCTGCCATATCCATATGTCTTTTGTATTGAAATCATCAAAATATGCAATTATGAAGTTCGGTAGTTTTTTTCATTTATTCCAAATAGCTTTCTAGAATTTTTGTTAATTTTGGGCACCAATGGACAAGTCTAGCTAGTCATATCTGTACAAACACCCAAGACTAATATAGTTTATGAACATAAACTCCCTAAAGTATGCAATGCAGGGGTGGATATATTTTTTATTTCGTTGTAACAACTTTTTTTTTTCTTTTAATATTGCTCACATATTAAAATTCATGTCTAGGAAGTATCAGGAGATTATTGTCACATTAAAACAATAAGCGAATCGTAGTTAAACCAACCGTAACTCCTTTCAGCCAGCATTAAGCTAAGACGGTTGGAAATTTTCTCAAGCCTAGCAATTGGTACGATCGAAGCTTGAACACTTAATTTTAACACGGATAACTAGGATTAACTGGCAAAGTGGAGACACGACGCGTTCCCAAAGCAAATCGCCATTAATTTATGTAAAGTCGAAACGTAACGCTGGCAGATATAAATTTTATAATGCCATTAGACAGCTGCAGCGAAGCGTTGACGACGACTTTTACTTGCCGCCTGAATGCGGCGCCTGAAACCAAAAGTTGGGCATGCTGAATGGCCAAATCTGGAGGAGGAGTATCTCTGATAAAAAAAATAAAAACAAACAAGAAATAAATACGGATTTCAGGCAGAGACGAAACATTTATACCCTTGCAGTAAAACGCCGATTTGGATTTAACGTGTTAAATAGAAGAAACTAAATTTCTTTAACGTGTTCTTTTCCACTTCTTTCAAAGAAGATGTTTTCTTTATGGAGATATTCTTTATTTTTAAAATTTTTGTTGTGTAAATGTGTATAACTCGGCGAATACTTGTCAGATCGAAAACTTGTATACCTTCCCGATTTTAGAACTCGAAGCAGCATCCTTTTCTATCAAAACCTGGCAACAAAAATTTTGAGCCATTTTTTTCCATTTTCCAAAGGGGCACCATCATAATTTTGGTACCAAAAATTGATCAAAATTTTTATTTACTGATTTTTTCGATCATTCTACTCAGATCAACGCGGATTAGAGCTCTGATTCATAAATGATATTCCGTTTTTCAATACGTGGAGTAATAGTGAAGATATATCTTAGAAAGCACGTGAAAAGTTTAGATTTTGTCCAAATTAAAAAATTTCAGAAACGTCGTTCCCATTTTCAATTTTCTTAGTGGAAAAATGTGTATATCTCCGCAAATACTTGACAGATCGATAAATGTTATACCTTCCCGATTTTAGAACTTAAGGCAGAACCTTTTTCCATCAAAACATGGCAACAAAAATTTTGAAAGATTTGTTTCAATTTTCCAAAGGGGTACCATCATAGTTTTGGCCAAAAATTGAACAAAACTTTTATTTACTCATTTTTTTGATCCTCTAACGCAGATCCACGCGAATTAGAGTTCTGATTCATAAATGAGTTTCCGTTTTCCTATACGTGGAGTAAGAGTCAAGATATAGCTTTAAAATCACGTGAAAAGTTTAAATTTTGGGTACATACAAAAATTTCAAAACCGTGGAACCCATTCTTCCATTTTTTTTTTTTAAAAATGTGTATATCTCGGCGAATACTTGGCAGATCGTTAAATAATATATATCTTCCCGATTTTAGCACTTGAAATAGCATCTTTTTCCATAAAAACCTGGCAACAACAATTTTGACTCCTACAAAAACGAAAAGTTATAAAACCCTCCTGGTTAGGGTATTGGAATCATCAGCTAAACGGGTTTACGAGCGGAGATCTCCACAAGCCAGGTATAATTGTCAATTAGACCGAGCTTAGGAAGCGACAAAGCAACCCACACCACATCCAATTCAAAAAACAACACACCAACGGAGTTTTCCAGCTGCGATCCGCAATCTGCCATCGGTGGCGCATCGTCTGGCGAGTTGGAAGTGGATTTGAACCGGTGAAGCCGGAAAATCTTGTCGCCGGGAAAACGACAACGAAGCGAAAAGCTCAGCTCAGTGCCGGTCCCGTCTTCGTCTTCATCTATAAATACTTTGGCAATGCCGCGCCAACGCTTTAATTACGTTTTTGTCCTTGACATTGGACCACGGCAGCGGAAAGTGAAAAAATCGAGGCGAGAAATCTGAAACAGGAGGATCACTCGCAGCAGGCGAGCGACTGCAGCGCGTTTTCCTAGCGCTTTAAATCGCCAAGTGACAGTGTTTAGTGCTTTTCTTAAAATAAAATTTATAAAAATATACTATTATGCGGTTGTATGTAAGTGTTGTGGGTTTTAGTTAAATAATCTATTCACCACTTGGTTATACACATATTTTTTCGGCAATTCGAAATCGAGAGCGAAAGTAAAGAAATCAAAACTTTCACTTTAAGTGAAAGTCGTGCATATTTCCACGAATGCAAATGTCTTTTTAATATTTGGCAATAATAAAGGATTATTTTTATGTTTAAATTAATTCAATAATTAAGGAGGAAAATTAGAATTTTTGTTTTTTTGCATAATTATTTTATAGTATTGAATTATTCTATAGTATTTCCATAATCCTTAAGACTTACATAGTGCAGACTTGACTTTTTCATATATTTAATTTCCTCGTTTTTACCAAGAAAGAAATAATAATAAATTAAAATTCATTATTCCGGAAATACACACTTTTTGTAATTTTTTTGCCTGTGATTGTCTTTTATATAAGATTTGCGGAAACATGAATCCATTAAATGATCTTTTTTTCTGGGAAGCCTATATAATTTTGTACTTTTCATAATATAAGATATATGACCTTTACATGTAGAATTTCCAATAGTGTAATTGTAGCTAATTAGTCTCAATATAGAGCTAATTAAGTCAGGACTGTAGACCATTCTTTTTAGAACCTCTGCCCATGATGGCCTATCCAAAAAGAGCAACTCACCTCTATTTGTTCAGAGGCATTGCAATCGGCATGCCGGGCATGCCATTCTTGACCAATCTCGTTGGCTGTTGGCAGAGATATTGAATGGCAGTCGTCGCTGTGCTAATTAAACCAAGTTGGGCCTCAAAATCAAAATCAAACCGAAACTGAAATCGAAACCCTCCCAAAGCAGCAAACCAGCAGAGACACATGCCAATCGGGGCTGGGCTGAACTGAGATCTCGTAATTCGTAGCCGAAAATCGAAAAATCGAAATATTTTGCAATTTGCAAAGAAACAAATGCAAGGCAATCGCAATTGGGAAAATTGAATTGTATAGAGTTGCTAGTGGATAGTGGATAGTGGCCACCATCCTGCCAGACCCGTTTACATCTCGAAATCTCGGGCAGGGGCTCGGACTGGGTCTCGGGCTGGCCAACTACTGTAGCTACTGGTCTTAAGCAAAGCCATCAATCTCCAAAAAGTTTTCGCTGCCCGCTGCCGCTCCGGACAGACAGGCATTTGCTGTCATATATGCTCGATACAAATGTGCCCCTGCGTCTATCTGTCTGCCTAATTTTGGACAGGACAGCAAGGTGTATTTTGCTATTACCATTTGACAACTGTCACAACGCTGTATGACATGGTCTGGGATCGAGATCGCAGCCAATCTCCAAACACGCTTCTCCGTGCGTTGTCCAATTAATTTTTGTGTCTCCCATATATTTTTTTTCGTGGCTTTAGTTTTTAAAATTTTCAATCTTTTTGATTTCCTTTTTTGGAGCCGGGGCGAGGCATGCTCGCGTAATAATTTTGTGGGCAATTTATTAACTGTTTGCTATGTTTGCTTAACTTGTTTTATCGCTTCGTTTATTAAGCGCTCGATTGATAAAAACGCATTCATATTCCGCTTAAATGCCTTTTTACAGATAACGACCCATTCGCCGTCGCTGGCCATCCTGCTGGCCCTGGTCTGTCTCCTGCCACGCCTCCCCGCCATCGATGCTGTTCGGGGCGGGGCCGCTGTTGTGGTCGCCGACGACGATGATGATGAAACCATGGAGTATGCCCCACAATATGTAAGTGAGCCAAACTGAAGCACCTGTAAAACTAAGCAATTTCATTGAGTGGGAAATTGGTGGATTACAGTGGGATTAATCCATAAACATTGTACATATAAATATGCTATGGTTTTTCTATAGCTTATATATAGATATAAGGTTATATAGAAATATATAAGGTTATATATATATATAAGGTTATATATATATAGGTTATAGATAAACCAACTAGAGCTTAGAGTATGATATAAGAATCATGCCATATCAATCATCATAAAACTAAATCTTATAATCCCACACTGACAGCGAAAAACGAATAAAAATGATCGTTAGTCAACTTTGGAATCATATAAATCATGACGTCTCACAATTAATTATTTATTTGATCGATCTATCAGAAAGTAGAGCGGAACCGACCACCGATTAATACATCAAAGTAGTTTAAGTCAAAATTCTCTGGTATACGCATAAATATGTACCAAAGCTAATCTCTTGGATCGTGGAAAACGCATTTTCCGCCATTGAAAGTGAATGTTGTCTCGATGCGAGTGCGAGTGCGAGTGCAGAATGTTCAATATCTTTCGATGGCTATGACCGCCTCCAACTTGCCGCCCACATAAATCAACTTGTTGGCCCGGCCATACCTGACTTGCACTCCATTGTTATTTTTTTGTTGTTGTTGTCTAGGTGCCTATAAGAGGGGGAGGCTGGCTGGCAGACTGGCAGGTAGCCGAATATGTGAAAATGCGAAAATGCGTTTTGCGTGCAGACACGATCGGGGCACAATCGAGAATTCGACAGCCTGGGGGCGCCATATATGGCATAAAACGCAGCTTGTGGCAGGCAACTTGTGGCTGCACCTACGATTCAACTCAAGTCAAGTCAACTCAAGCGAAAGGTGGCCCGAAGGCGAGATTGAATTCTTTTCTTTTGTAACTGTTTCGGCGACAAGGTGCGTTTTTTTGGGTGAAAAAATAATAAAATAAAAAAATAAAAATGTTAAAATGTTTTTCATGCTGTTCGATCGTTTTGGCCTGGCTGTTTTGGAGCTGTCAGAAATATTTTGATTTGGCCCCGGACTCTGAGCTCTGAGCTCTGGAGCTCCCACGATCTGTCGGGCGATTTGTTGTCAAAATGTTGACAACGTTGCGTATGCGTAATTTGCATGTAATTGTGGAGTGATTGCGCGCATACGCCCTGTTAGCCAGCAAAGTCAGCCAGCCAGTTAGCCAAATCATAAATTGCTCACCCATAAATTTATGAGTTAAAGTTCACACGCACCCACAAAATTGGCCACCAACCGGGCCCGATGCCGATGCCGCTGCTGCTGTTCTCTTACCAATCTCCTGGGTGGCCACTGGTATAAGTTGACTTATGCAACTCCTATTAAAACCTCCATATATTCCAGGCTAAAAACTAATCTATATTACAGTAGTAACTAAACTAAAGCTTATTTTTAAAGAAAGAAGTTTGAATTTAATAACTTTAAGTTATTGAAGTTTAAATTAAAGTTCTAGTACTTTTTTTTAAATGGTGATGGTAGTAATTCAGTTTTGTTTAACAACTTCCGTGTTTGTGGTTAGGGAAGAATATATGGGGTTCCCCAATTAATCAGTTTCCTTGTAAGGATGCTTTACTGTACCGATGGCTGCTGCTCAGGTTACACTCGCTTGTAATCATTTGTTTCGTCCGGACAGCGACAGCAGAGCAGGGAGTTAAAATTGATAGGCAGCGAACAACTGCAGCAGCACCAACAGTTACTACCAAAAGTATCCAATACTACTGCTAGGCAGCCAGCCATAGACAAAAAAAAATGTATATAAAATAAGAAAATAAAATACAAAAAAGCGGGCATTTGTAAGCGAGTGTGCGTGGCCATTTATGGACGTCTGCGCTTAATTGAAGCCAGCGCCAAAGCATGCGAAAAACTTTTGCAATTTGCCTTAGAAATACTGAAGGTGCCAAAAAAGAAGGGGAAAACGCATAAGCTAACGTGTCCAAATGACACCGAATGCTCTACATTTTATATTAATTGAATTTATGTAAATTTTTCAGTTTCTCTAGTGACCGTCTATATGGGGTTAATGTGTGGTACAGAGGCTATAAATAACAATCTAGAATGTCATTTAAGCTTAAACTAAAGTCGTAGGCACTTAACACTATCATTATAAAAGGATAAGGCAACGCTTACATTAATTAAGAATAAATATTTAGAAATAAAGACTTTAAAAAAATAGTTTAATAAATATTTTCATTAACATAACTAAGGCCTAACTAAATTTATGAATTTCTAGGGTTAAATCGTTTTAATTATTAATTAAATTGGTTTGACTTCAATGCCGGTTGTAGATCAAACGAAAACTCAATCCCCCAAAGAACCGAAAACCCAACCCAAAGGCCTCCTCCAGTGGCTCTCAAACTGTGCACAGCGCGCGCTCTTGCCTTGACACAAAAAGGTTGAATTTGTTTCATTTTTTTCTACTTCTTTTTCGGCTTTTATTCAATTTTTTGTATATTTTTTTGTCGCCATGAACACACATAAAATTCTACAGACGTTGACATAGCCATTGGGACTTTTGGAAAAATGTGCGTACGAATTTTAGGTGCGGTTTGAAGTCGCTGGAGATTTGATTATTTAATGGTCTCAGATTTTGTATTGTTTTTTTTTTTGCATATTTCTTTGTAGGAACATCCTGGCTATGCCTTTAGCTATGGCGTCAAGGATCTGCATACTGGCGATGTCAAGTCCCAGTGGGAATCCCGGGATGGCGATGGCGTCAAGGGACACTATAGTATCCTCGAACCCGATGGTTCCATTCGCACTGTTCACTATACGGCGGATGCCAAGAAGGGTTTCAATGCCATTGTCAAGACGGTGGGCGCTAATTCGCATCCGATCACAGAGACCCCGGAGGGCAGCAATCAACTTAACGACGACACCTCGCAGTCGAAGATCAATCACTACAGCAAGGATCAGGAGCACATTGTCCTGAGCTCTGACATCAAGCCTCTGAAGAAGCCCATTGAGGACTTGACGCATTCGCACCCGAAGATCCCCAGCCTGATTGAGATCAAGCCCCATGCCAGGATCAAGCAGGTGCCTATGGACATGGATCCGGGTATTAGGGACCGACTCCAGCAGGCCAGGGAAACGTACTACAAGCAGATCGCCGCCGCCCATAGGGAAAGGGAACTGGAGAGGGAGCGGGAACGAGACCGCGAACGAGATGACTATTCCCAGAAACTCCAACCGGCTTTTGCTCTTCAGGAGGGCGACTGGAAGGCGGTGATCGTGAACGAGCCCAAGGAGTACCGTCCTTATTATAGCCCAGGATCTCCCGTCCACTCGCAGCATCCTTACTACGACCACTACAAGCCCAAGGAGCTGCCCCAGAACTACATCCACAAGCCGTCGGTGCCACAACAGTCCCTGCACACCAGCTACTCCCCCTCGAAGCCACGGGTCAGCATCTCCGACAACCACATCCACCAGAAGAAGGTGGTGAATACCACGCCCGGCCTGAAGCACTACAAGTACAAGAGCGTTTCCAAGAGCTATGCCCGTCCCGACTACTCCAGCTACTTCCACCGCAAACCCAAGAAGCTGCGTCCCCTGCATCCCAAGCAGAAGCCACGCGCCCACCGCCCCGAAAAGCAAGGACCTGTCCTCTTCCCCGACATTCAGGAGGACGATTTCGACGATTTCGAGGAGGACGAGCAGGGAGCAGCCTCGGCCAGTCTGGTGGAGAGCATGGTGCGCCAGGATAAGAAGCACATGGTCCCCATGTACGCGGGAGGACACAGCTTCAAATCGAACAGCTATCGCACTTTGGAAGGGCTGTAGATTGTAGGGTATACATCTGTCGTATAAGTACTTCCTTAATTTATTTTTGTCCGTTGTATGCGTAATTTATTTGTTTAGTATTTAAGCATTTAGTTATTGTTTGTTAAATAAATGAATCGTGTCTTAACGGGTGCTTTATTGAAAGGGTTGATGGATGTTCTGTTAGGCGGTATTATTTCTTTAGAATTCCTTTAGAACTTTGTTTCTAGCTCAAAGAATATGGATTTCAAAGTTGTAAAAGCTATGGAAACCCAAATCTTAATAGTCTTGGAGGCAGTTACACTTGCCCAGGATTTTGCATCATAAATCACACAAGATCTTAGGCCAAGCCAAAACAATAAGCCTCGTGGGCTGACAGGAAATTGCTAACAAGATAGCCAAAGATCCCCGACTTCTGATCTCGCGGATCTCGTACAATGCCCAACCTCCAATTGAGTTTTGTGATTTTGCGTTGCAAGATGCAAGTTGCAACAGCAACGCCATCCGACAACGAAAGCGACAACCATAAATTAACACCAGCTCGCATTAATTATTTCAAGCCGACAACGCAGCCACGAAAACGCCCCAAAAATGTTGATATTTGGTGGAAAAAGTTATAGATACTCTTATATTATAAGGGGTTAAAAAAATTGATAGCAAAAATACATGATTTAGACAGTTTGATGGAGAAATTAAACCTTTTTAAGAATACTTTATGATTTTGAAAGTTTTATTATATGGTACATATAATATCACTAAAAAGCCAATCACCCCTCTATAGAGTATATATCTTGGTCTGAAAAAAACGCGTGCTATTTGACAGCAAATTATGCGAATGCAATGCATTCTGAGAATTGTCTCTCACATTTGTTTAGACCGCTAATTGCTTTCGGGCCGCCGGAGTTCTCTGGGCACGGATCAGGAGGGGCTCGGATCCTTAAAAGGTGTGCGTGTCAGCGGGGCAACTTTTCCAGCAAACCGGATCTAAGTCTCAAGAGTCTCTGGCCAGATCTGTGACTCATAGGCCTCCGTGTACGTTCAATGTCGTTCGACGGAGGCGGCGCCTAATCTAGAAGATTGTAAATTATTTAATTGGGAGCGCTGGCAAACGCCTCTGCACTTCAACGAAGTCACTCTCCCAAAAAGCAATTCCAATTGCAGTCTGCAATCTGAGAATCTGAGAATCTGTTGCACTCGATCGATTTTCAGACATTTCTCACGCGACTTAAAACGCGCTAAGTGGTTCTTAAATGCTCTCTATTTAAGAGGATCTATTTTATTGGTAGTACACTGAAGAAAACTATTGCCTGAGGCTTATAAATTATTATTTTTTTTCTGACAGTATAATCATCAATTTTAACCATCAGTTTGGATTCAGTTTTTTTACTGCTTGGGAAACTGGTTCGCCTAGAAAAGCGACATCGGCAATGTGGGAGCAATTTGCATATTACCGATCAATTTTTTATTTCTGATTCGCCCTCTTCTCTTCGATCTGCCATTTGACACTATGGTGCCTGGATCTCGATTTCAATTGCAATTTCAATTTATGCAATAAAAATCAAAAGAATATATCCAAGTCAATGCCATACGCAAAATGCTATGTGCTGCGTTGACAAAAAGTATTCGCAATCGCACCTGTAATTAGAATACTTGATCCGTAATCGAACTAGTTATGCATGAGATTAACTAAATTGGATTAGTTGAGGGGTCTCATGCTAGTGGGAGATCAAGTGCAGCAGAGTGTTTATTGAGAATGCCGAATGCCTAATCTGTGTTAATTATGACAAATATTTACGAGAATCGTAGAATTGCAGAGAGGGTTGATTCAGAAGTAGTATAACCTTGTGGGCTTGGCCGACTGCAGGCTAATTAGATCTGTCATTTCTATGATTTTATAGAATTATAATTCTACATGGCAATGGCTCTCATATTGTTAGCAATAACATCCGGTTTATGAATAAAAAAAAGAGACAGCTAAGAAAGAGTAGCACTCATATCATAAATTGTATAACATTTCTATAGTTAGTACCCCTCGATATATAAACATTTCCCCGCTGTAACTACTACCATTTAAACGCACCTTATGACCGGACTTAATTAGCTGTCTACTGTGTCTGAAGTTTGTGGCAGTTGGAGCTCCAAATGGAGCAGTTTATTCGAAACAGTGGCAGCCATCAAGTTGCCATCGCTGCCACATTGTCCCTGACTTGCAGCTGACACCGCGTGCCGGCCAAATCAATTAAAAACACCCAGATGGAGGGGAAAAAAAAGTGTCAGGAGTAATCTGGCCAAGCGATTATTGCCGAAATAAAACCCAACCATAAATGGTTGGCTGGAAAATTGATTGAGCAGCATACGCGTTGACATTTCAATTAGAAGCCCAGACCAAGCCAGACCAAAAAAAAAAAAAACAAAATGACAACAAAAAATCCATAAGACACGCAATCGCAATCGCGTCCGAATGGCAATTGAAAAGAATGCCGATCCAGATCGAGAGGCTAGTGCCGAAAAGATAAACCTTGTGAACCAATTAAGACCAGGTGATTTGGGTGTTGCATGGTATAATATGATTTTTATCATAGCTCTCAGGTCTGGAAACTCATTCGCCGGGAGAAGAGTTCAAACCAACAATTTTCTTCGGATTTTTCCTGGAAACTTCAGGACTGCAACGGCTGCTGTTAATTGAACATGAAACATGTTTCGGTCTGTCGGGGTGATTTTGTTTTTCTCTTTAGGTTTCTCCCCAATGGTTTTCGCAATTTGATTGAATTTTAATTTTTCAACATTTGCAAACGCAAACCGAAAAGTCAGCTGCGCTGGCTGAATTTTAACCTACTTCAGGCTGATCGCCGGACGAGTTTAGTTCGCCTCGCCACGCATTTGTCACACACACGCACAGCTCTTGGGTTGCGTAAGTTTTGGTCGAGGAGTTTATAGATCTGGTATACACTATATATATATATAAGCTATAGATACAGCTGGCCATGGCTACCTCACGACCATGCCTACTTAGCATCATGACGAAATCATAGCCCAAACCTCCTTCGATTTTAATTGAAAAATCTTGATTTTCGCCCCAGTATAGCCAGCCATCGAGTTAACCAAGCAGCCGGATCATTTACATGTAACTTTGTATCGCGGCGAATCCTATATCTAGATGGTTTGTCTCTTATTCAATATCAGGTCGCTGCGTAAACATTTCAAAATCTATGATTTTATGTTTTCTGCAATCTGTTGATCTCCACCAAAAAATTCTACAAGCCCAGCAAATATTTTGCGAACCAGTTTAAGTTTTAGTTAGTGTTATAGTACAAGTAGTGCGTGTATTTAATATATACACACATACCATATTTTTTTTGAGAAAGGCCGACGGGCTTGGCTCGACTGGGCGACTCTGTTTTTTGTGTGCGCACAACATGGCGTATGCGTGATGCCAGCGGGGCAGTCAGCTACAAAAAAAAAACCTGCAGGATTAGCTCTGATCTGAAATTATGACTTTAGGTAGCTCAATGGATTGTGTTTATGAGCGGCAATGCATTTTCCGCACCTTGTGCGAAACTGATGCCGCTAAATTGCTGCCAAACGGCTGTCTGCGGTGAAAATTCGTGGGCGATGTCTGGACTTGGCCAAAAGGCAATATGGTTTTAGTAATTTCCATTATATAACTTAGCGGAGATGGAAAAAATAATTGTTTAAAATCGTGTAAAGGCAACTATAATAAATCATTTTTAAACTTTTTTCAAAATCAGCCATGTCAACCGGGCCATTTATCGGACATGTTAACCCATTACTTTGGCCATTTTCTAGACGTCATCTACAATCTACACTCCCGCGCTTAGTGACCTTAATTGCCCGCAAATCAACACTTTGGCGATATCGCCGGGCTATTCTATTAGTTACACATTGTATCGGATTATGATGTGGCAATGCGCCTTTTAGCCAACTAATGCACCACCAAGGCCCAAGGCACACGCACACCAATATGTATCTTTTGCTAAAAAATGTAGAAAAAGGAAAATGAAAATAAAACACGCATGATTGCACACTCATACAGGTAAAATAAAATTTATTGATAGCGACATTAATACCACAGTTCTTGTTTTATTTTCTACATAGCTTGCTCTCTATATTTCATGATATTTTTTTGTCCATTTTATTTGGGGGGGCCTAGCAAATTGCGTATGCATTTATTTTTTTCCAAAGCTACACGCAATGGCCGCGATTGAAATCTAAATCAAATTAAGTCGCTTTAAAAGCATACGGGTATGCCAGGAAAAAAAAATGATGGAAAAAAAGGCCAACAATGCACCACGCAAATTTTCCGATCGGTTTATTTTTTTGAGCCGAGCCGAGGCGTTTGCGAGAGTATGATCTAATAAAACGTTAACAGCGAAGGTGGGGCCCAACAATTGGCCAGGTTGCAGGTTGTACTGCCGTTTTCAGTTGCCAGTTTTTTTCAGATTCAGTTTTCAGTTTCAGTTTTCAGCTTTTCGAGAGAACAAAGCTAACTCGCAACGAGAGTTCTTCATCTGCACGCGTCAAAAAAAATATTAGCTCTTTGGCTCTTTTTTTTCCTTTTAGCCAGATTCGATTCGATTTTCGTTTTTTTTCGTCATATGCTATATATATAGGCAATATAGGCTATACACTTTTTTGTCGATTTGTCGCCAAACTGGTGCGTGGCGGCTGCTGCGCATGCGTGCGAGCTTTTCGCGTTTCGTTTTTCGCGACTCTTGTTGGCCTGGCCAACTGACCGAACGTATATAAGCGATTATAGGGCCGGGCTGGCCAACAGTCCAGTCCAGTCTGCTCTACATCTCCCATCGATCCGATCCGATCCGATCCGATTCGATCCGTGGCGTTGCGTTGTAGAATTATATCCGATCCGGAGTCGCGGTCGATCGCGGTTTGTGAAAAAGAAAACACCATCAGCCAAAGGATATACAATTCTTATAATACTTCCCGCCAACCAGAAGGATTGCAATCTTGTGAATTCTTTTTTGAAAAGTGCAAATGTGGTTCTAGTGAGCAATACGAAAAGGATACATTAAGCTCTAAGGCCAATCCTCAGCCAACGAATTTGAATCGACTTTGGTGATTTCACTTTGTGGAAATATGAAGGTTGGTCCTGCGAAAAATTTATTAAAACCCATGGACGTTCTTAAAAGGATAATGAAAGTGCTTATGGATATTTTTAAATTGTATCTCAAAAGTGTCATTTAATATTTTAAAAAGCTTCTTCTGAACCGAAAAAAAACTTTAAAGTGATGTGTGGAAAAGGACATAAAAGTTTTGAATATGTTTGGTTAAGAAAATGATTATTATTTTAATTGAAAGGTTATTTATACCAACAAAAAATTCATTAACAATTTAAACAGTAATAGCCACAAAACAGATTCAGGATTTTAAAAAATTTTAAGAAATTTTTTTAATTTTTGAATGCAAGAAAGGGTTTTAAAAAATTATTATTATGTAAAATGTAGCTTAGAGGTTTTGAAAAAGAATTTGTTTTGAATACAGATCCTAGTTTAAAAATATTTTATAAAACTTTATATTGTAGTTTTTTTTTTTAACTTTTGAAATAAAGATAGAATAAAGAAATTTGAATAAAGATTTAAATATAATAAAATATTTGTTCTTATAATTCAAATATATACAACAAATTTTCGTATATTTCTTCTAAAGTTTCTTAAAATATATCTTAAAAGGACCTTTATTTTCCTTCGAACTACTTTTTATGTTTCTTTTAATTTTTTAACTTTCACTAACTTTAAAAACGTTTCACCTTGCAGTTCCATTTGATAGCCCTTTTGGGCTGGCTGGGAGCTGTCCTGGCAGATCCTTCACCAACCTTAGCCCCGCCGATTCTCCCTTGCGTCCACGCGGCCACCGCCGGCTACTCGTATCCTCCTCCGGCTGAGGTGAAGTTCTCCATCACGCCAGGAGTAACCAAGTACAGCCAAACTCCGGCTATCTCCACATACTCGGAGAACGGCAAGCTGCTGCATACCTCGGTGGGCACTGGCGGAGCATCCTACGAGTCCACCGTTGGATTGGAGGGTCTGTCCCACGGTGGCATCACCCAGATCGACAAGTACATAGCTCCGGTGCAGAAATCACTGTTTACTCCGTCAGCGGAGTACGGAGCAGGCATAACCTATGCGGAAAAATCTCCGGCGGCCAAGTACGCAACTGTGGTGCCATCCGGAATAGAGATCAAGAACCTGGTCTCCCCAGCCCTGACCAAAACCTTGCTGACGGCACCCAAGCTGGATAACGCCTATTTGCCGCCGTCTCCGGGTCTCACCAAAGTGGCCACTTACACCTCACCCGGATACAGCTACAGTTCCGCCACTCCGGGTATTTCCAAGGTGGCCACCTACTCTTCCCCAGCTCCCTCGAGCATTCCCTACTATGCCCCACCAGTGACCACAAAGGTGGCGACGTACAGCTCACCCGGATACACATACTCCAAGGCCACGCCTGGATACTCCAAGGTGGAGACTTACTCCTCTCCCGGTTATAGTTACGGTCAGATCTCGCCCGGAATCGCGAAGATAGCCACATACTCGCCGTCAGAATCCTACTCTGCGCCAGCCATTGCCAAGGTATCCACCTACTCGGCTCCGGCAGTTAAATTGGCGACCACCTCATCCCTGCTCGCCTCTCACGGAACAGGCTACTCCGCCAGCTACGCTCCCACGATCACCAAGTACAGTCAGGCGGCGGACGTGTCCCACCAGTACTTCTCCAAGCCCATTGTGGCCGCGTATCCGGGTCCTGCTTTGGTAGCCCCAGCTGTCACTAAGATAGCCGCGGGCTACGGAGGCACTGCCTCTGGTGCCGTTTCCCATCAGTATGTATCGAAGCCGGCAGTAGCAATTGCTGCTCCTGCTATTGCGAAGGTTGCTACCTATGCTGCTCCAGCCCTGTCCACATACGCCACTGCTCCTGCCATTTCCAAGGTGGCCACATATGGTGCTCCCTCTATTTCCACCTATTCCTCCGCTCCGGCGGTTACCAAATTGGCCACTTCCTATGGAGGCAGTGGGTTGGGCTATAGTTCCGGAGCTGTTTCCCATCAATATGTGTCCAAACCGGCTGTGGCCATTGCCGCTGCTCCTGCTATCGCTAAGGTGGCCACCTACTCGGCTCCAGCGATATCAACCTACTCCAGTGCTCCAGCCATCTCAAAAATAGCCGCCATTGCTGCACCCACTGTGTCCACATACTCGTCCGGACCACTGGTCTCTAAAGTAGCCACTGGCTATGGTATTAGTGGATCTGGAGCGGTATCGCACCAGTATGTGTCGAAGCCCGCTGTGGCCACCATTTCGGCTGCTCCAGCCATTGCAAAGGTAGCCACCTATGCCGCCCCAGCAGTGTCAACCTACGCCACTGCGCCGGCTATTTCCAAAGTGGCTACATATGCTGCTCCGGCCATTTCCACATACTCCGCTGCTCCAGTCTTGACAAAGGTGGCCACCTCCTATGGTGGTAGCGGGGCAGGATACAGTTCGGGTGCTGTTTCCCACCAATATGTATCCAAGCCGGCAGTGGCCACCATCTCAGCCGCACCTGCCATCTCCAAAGTGGCTACCTATGCATCTCCGGTTATTTCCACTTACTCCTCAGCGCCAGTGGTGACGAAACTGGCCACCGGCTATGGAGCATCTGGCCACGGAGCTGTGTCCCATCAATATGTGTCCAAGCCAGCTGTGGCTACCATCTCTGCGGCTCCCGCCATTGCCAAGGTGGCCACCTATGCTGCTCCTGCAGTGTCTACCTACGCCACTGCTCCTGCCGTCTCCAAAATAGCCACCTATGCCGCTCCAGCGGTGGCCACCAAGATCGCCTACAGCCAGGCGGCGGATGTTTCCCACCAATACATCTCCAAGCCGATTGTGGCCGCCTACCCTGCCGCGGCTCCTGCCTTGGTGGCTCCAGCAGTGACCAAGATTCCCAGCTATGGAGGATCCGGCCATGGTGCCGTTTCCCATCAGTATGTGTCCAAACCGGCAGTGGCCACAATTGCCACAGCTCCTGCCATTGCTAAAGTAGCAACCTATGCTGCTCCTGCCATTTCCACCTACTCCTCTGCTCCTGCGGTAACCAAAGTATCCACTTCTTATGGAGGAAGTAGTTTGGGCTACAGCTCGGGAGCTGCAGTGGCCACTATATCGGCAGCTCCTGCTATTGCCAAGGTGGCGACCTACGCTGCTCCGGCCATCTCTACTTACTCCGCTGCTCCCACTCTCACCAAGATCGCCACGAGCTATGGAGGATCAGGCCATGGCGCCGTCTCCCATCAGTATGTGTCCAAGCCGGCCATCGCTGTTGCTCCAGTGGCTCCTGTGGCACCTCTAATCTCCAAGACCTACCTACCAGCAGCTCCTGCTTTGACTCTCCAGCCCGCGAAATTGGCCACAGGATACGGAGTAAGTGGCTCCGGTGCTGTGTCTCATCAATACGTGTCCAAGCCAGCAGTAGCCACCATCTCTGCTGCTCCTGCCATTGCAAAGGTTGCTAGCTATGCTGCTCCTGCCATCTCCACCTACTCCACTGCTCCGGCCATCTCGAAAATTGCCACCTACGGTGCTCCAGCAGTTTCCACCATCTCGGCTGCTCCCGGCTATGGTATCAGTGGCTCTGGTGCGGTATCCCATCAGTATGTTTCCAAGCCAGCTGTGGCAACTATTGCAGCGGCTCCTGCCATAGCCAAAGTGGCCACCTATGCAGCTCCAGCTGTGAGCCACATATCAACAGGACACGCCATCTCCTCGGGACCTCTTTTGTCCACCTACTCTGCTGCTCCCGCCATTGCCAAAGTGGCCACTGGCTATGGAGTTAGTGGCTCCGGAGCTGTCTCCCATCAGTATGTGTCCAAGCCGGCTCCTGCCATCGCCAAGGTGACCACCACATACTCTGCTCCTGCAGTGAGCCACATCACCACAGGACCTGCCATCGCAAAGGTGGCTTCTCCCATCGGTTTGGGCTTGGGCGTCGGCTATGGCATCAGTGGCCACGGACATGGAGCAGCCTTGCTGGGAGCTCCTCTGACCAAGTTGACGTCTGCTCCTGCCTATTCCCTGGGAGGAAAGTTGACGAGCAGCACTGCCTATGGCATTCATGCGGGTGAGTATGTTGCCACAGATATTCTTCCATATTTTACGAATCTCTTTCAGGTAAACTTGGTCTGGGTGGAGGTCTTGGTGGAGGTCACGATGGTGGCTACTACGGTGCCATTTCCCTCGGACATGCTGCCGTTTCTCCAGCCCTTAACTATCAGGGTCTGCTGACCCACGGATCCGGATTGGCTCCAGCTACCGCCTCGCTGGGACACCTGGACTCCTCGTTGAGTGGCTACGCCCATGGAGAAGGTGGCATTGGACCTCTGGGTGCGGGTTTCTACCGCTATGCTCCCAGTGTATCGGCTCTTAGCAGTCACGCCCCGCTGGCGGCTACCGCCTACCTAAAATCCGCCCCTGTGGCCCAGCCAGCTCTGCTGAAGGTGGTGCCCGAGAAGCACCTGGAGCACTTTGTAAGTTCTTAGCCAAAGAATGACTACGGAGTTCCAGTGAATGATTACTATTCTTCCTTCCAGGATGCTCATCCTCGTTATGCCTTCGAGTATGCCGTAAACGATCCACACACCGGCGACAACAAGCACCAGAAGGAGGAGCGGGACGGAGACGTGGTCAAGGGCGAGTACTCCCTGGTGGAGCCCGACGGAAATGTCCGCACCGTAAAGTACTACGCCGACTGGGAGACGGGTTTCCACGCCGAGGTCATCAACAGTCGCGATCAGGGCAAGATTGTGGCCAAGCGTGAAACGGAAGCCAAGTCGTGAGGTAACTAGGAATAAATTAAATACTTTGTTAATTAAATAAATTAAATTTGTTTAATTTTTTAAAGCTTTTCAGGGGTCGCTAATTGTTTGGTTCGTTCAGCCACTGTAAATAGCCTAAAATCCAATCTTATTCTCATTAAACATTAAACGTATTTATGTAAATCCCACAACAACAATCAACACCAACAACATATATATGGTATATATCCCCCCCCCCTTAAATCCTGGATTACCCCGATTTTGTGCTCATGTGATAAGTGTTTCGTTTTTAATTGAACTGCTTGCGCTGCTCTTCCTCTCATCTCGAAACTGCGCGTCTCTCTTATTGCCCAGAAAATAAAAACTATATACATACTGTACATAACGACATTGCGAATTGTATATGATATTTTGTAAAGAGTTAATTTCAAAATAAACGACATTTAGGATCGCAACCGTCGATAGTGATCGACAATGAGATTAACATCATTTGTGTTTTCAGTGGGGACCACCAATCTTTTGAGGTATATCTCGTAGGCGTCGGATGACTTTGGCCAAGATATAGCTTTTTAAGAGGGTCATATAGTGATTCAGATTGGTGAAGAATCGCTCTACTAAACCTCTCAAGAATTTGATGAATATTGGCAAAGATACTGCATTTATAGGTAATAGTAATGCCCCCATGCATTTTTCACAATTCTTGAAAAGGAACTCCCAAAAAAGTTGCTAGAGGATAACTAGAGGGCTTTCGATGATTCTGGAATGGAGGGATTTGCGGAGTGAGCCTTTTTTGGAGATTGTCACCCGCGGAGGACTTTTGGCCCACAAGATCCTCCAGAAAGTACTCTAAAAGGGAATTCTTGTTTGAAGTGAATCGGTGAAACAGTATCCTTTTAGACCAAAATCAGTTCACATGCCAAAGACTTAGAGGTTAAGGGACTCACTGATTAATTGAGGCTTGAGACTTACATAAGTTGAGTGTTAGGTTACAACCCCAGTAACCATGTCGAAAACAAACATCTTTTTAAAAGGAGCACAACTTCAACCGAGTGTCAATAAATTCAAACGATCCCGAACGCTAAAGGAGAACAGTTCACAAAATATATTGCTCCCATTTTAAATATACATATGTATATTTTTTGTAACAAAAATGGATAGAGTATTCACATTTACTGCACTTTTTAAAGTATTGGATAAAAAATTGCAACATTTGGCCGATGAGGCTGAATCAATTTGGAAGGTATTGGCGTCAATGATTGAAAAATTGAAGGGATCTAGCAACCTCGAGAAGACTAAAAAGGAAATTGATTTGCTGGAGGACAGAATAAAGCAGATCTTTGAAATAGATATGAAAATGAAGTATTTAATTCCAAAAGTTGATCTTCTTTTGCTTATCTCGCGGCGATACCGCTATTATAATGAACTTCTTCAACATGGAGATGAATAGTATTGAGAAGGAGCTAAATTATTTAGATAAAACATTTTTAAGCCAGGAAGATCGTGGATAAAAAAAAATTATGTTTGACCCTTTTTGGTTGCTTAAAATTAAAAAGCGATAAGTTTAAAGCATTCAACTATCTGTTTCCTCTTTCTGTTGGGCACAGTGGGGTAAACAAATGGCTTAAAAATCAGTGTATTGGTATAGTTTTTATGGAGATTTATGGAGAATCTAAAATCGTTAAAGGTATTAGAATCGCTTAAGAGTCGGTTGATTGTCGCCAAAGATATAGCCTTTTCTGGGGGTATATATGTATGTATGGAAAAGGCTTATATTATATTTTAAAACGACCCCTAGAAATTTTGAGAAAATATCTAAAAAATTTGATTATAATGCAGATTAGTGGAGAATCAATCCACGAGTCATTTAAGGCATTCCGCTGAAGAATCGGATGATTTTTGGCCAAGATATAGCCTTTTTAGTGACTCAGATAGTCATGTCCACTCTTTTTAGATTTTTGAAGGGGACCCCCTAGAAATTTTGACAAAAAATCTAAAAAATATTTTGTTCCTGGATTATAATGCAGATTAGTGGAGAATCAATCCACGAGTCATTTAAGGCATTCCGCTGAAGAATCGGATGATTTCTGGCCAAGATATAGCCTTTTTAGTGATTCAGATGGTCATTTTCATTCTTTTTCAAATTTTTGAAGGGGACCCCCTAGAAATTTTGACAAAAAATCTAAAAAATATTTTGTTCCTGGATTATAATGCAGATTAGTGGAGAATCAATCCACGAGTCATTTAAAGTATTCCGCTGAAGAATCGGATGATTTTTGGACAAGATATAGCCTTCTGGGTGACTCAGATGGTCATTTCTACTCTTTTTCAGATTTTTGAAGGGGAACCGAATAGAACATTGAAAGGAAAATCGAACCCTCAAGGAAAAGCAGCTGATGTGGTCGCCACCCGGAGGTCAATGCGTTCCTGCATTGAGGGAAGTACTGATCGAGAATCGCACCTATTCAGGATCGAACTGAAGAACCAACTACCCGGCCTGTTATAACTACCCGTCTTATATTATTGTAATTATAATAACATAATATAATAATAACAATATAAAGGCTTAAGTATAGCCTGGGCTTTGCTGAATATTGGTAAATGTATCATTCATAATTTTAATAATAAACGAATTTTATTTTAATTCATCTAAATAGTAATGTAAATTTGTTTATTTTCCGATTAACTCAAACATATCCATAATGTGTATATAATTGTACAGTTTTATTCGAATACAAGTAGATAACTAATTTCGTAATTAGTCCTGGATTAACTAGTTCCCCTTTATTGATAGTGTTTATATATAAGCAGCAATCACATAAGCCTTTGTTCTGACCGAAAATACTATTGGAATACCACCTACACCATAAAACTCTAGAAGTTTGGCCCGAATGCTTGCCGCAGATCCTCTGTGATGAAGAGCCCGAAGTCGGTGTTCTTGGCCCGATACGGATGCTGGGTGCAATATGTCTGGAAGATATGTCGCAGGACGCGGCTACCCTGCAGCTCCACATCCGATCGCCGTTGGCTCCCAGCCGAGCCCATTTCCAGGTGGGCCAGAAGCCATTGGTTCTTCAGGGAGCGCAGCTCCTGCTCCAGGTTGGATAGTTCTAGGCTGCCGGATTGTGGCACATGCAGCGGTTCCAAGGAAGCCAAGCTTTTACGTAGCTCACTGCCCTGCATTTTGACGCGCAGGGTGCGCTCTTGCCGAAGGGCCTGATGGAGCAGGTTCATCTCCCGGTTGGAGCTAATCGTGGTGCTGGTGACACAGGCACTGTCCGCCTGCTGCTGTTCCCGCCAGTGTTGCTGTGCCTGCTCCAAACTGGTTACCTTCTCTCCCAGAACATTCAATGCGTGTCCCAGAGCTGCTTCCTTGACTAGGATTGACTGCTCCAGGTGCTCCACAGCCTCGGCGAAACCGACTAGGACATGACACTGTTTGCTCAACTGCTTCTCGGCCATCTCCTTGCGGATCTGCATCTCAGAGAAGTCCTGTTGCTTCATCTTGGCCAAGTACTTCAAGGACTTGATCTCCTTGTCCCGCTCGGAAACAGTCAGCTCCAGGGTCTTCACGTCCTCGTAGTGCCGCTTCACCTGGGCGGCCCGTTCCTGGAGCGTGTTTGTGGCTGCGTGACGCACATACTCCGTGTTCACGTCCGTAGACTCCAGCAGCGTGAAGAGCTCATCTAGTTGCTCCTCTAGCAGCTGCATGCAGTGCTGGCTATAGGCATCCACTTCCCTGGGCTCCGGGGTGTCCTGGCTGGGAGCGAACTTGTTGTAGTTCAGCACCAGCATCCTCCACAGCTTCTCATGGGCAATGCCCCCATTTGACTCTCTGCTGGCCTCCCGGGCAGTTGCGTCCAGCAGACGTATAAGAGCGCCCAGTGCATCGTTTGCCTCCAGGATACGTTGATACCGAGCACACTGCATGCCCGTCCAGGCGGCCGTCTTGCCGCCACTCTGGAGTTTCTTCTGCAGCTTCTTCAGCTTCTGTTTTTGGGCGCAGCTCTGCTCCATCAGAAGCTGCATGCACAGGAAGGAGGCAGTTTGCTCGTGGCCCAACTGGATGATGGTGTGCATCAGTCCTGCATTGGCATTGACGGCATCTAAGCCAGCCTCGTACACCTCGACTAGAGCTCCGTATAGCTGCTTCTCATCTAGCAGCTCCACCAGAGTCTGCGGTGGCATCAGATTCTGGTGAAGCCCGTTGATGTAGTGCAGCACCCGCTGGATGGGCTCACAGTTGGTGTGCTCGTCCAGCTGGCCAGTCTTCAGTAGGCGCACAAACTCGTCCAGCTGCTGCTCCTGCAGCTCCAGATCACTGCGGTAAATGGCCGCGTGGGTGCACAACTCGTAGTCGCAGTGGTTGAGTCCGTGGCGGAACTGCTGCAGCACCAGCTGGAGACTCTTGAGGAGATACAGGCACTGCGATCGAAAGATGTAGCGCTGCACGGAGTAGCCCTCGAATATGGCATCACGACCTGGTATAAACATTACAATAGAGCTGCAAACGATTCTACTTTTAGTGAATCGAGTAAATTCGATTCGATTCTGAAAAAGATCGATTTAAATCGATTTAGATCGAAAAAATAAATATATAAATATATATGCTCAAAAATTGTAGAGGAAAACATAAGCCTTTAAACAATAATATAAATACAGAGTTCTTGAGATCAACAGTTTTAAAGCTATTTTTTTTATAGATTCCATCCTAATATCTTGCACCTGTAAGAAATATTTAGAATTGCAAATTAGACTAGATTTATCACAAAATGAAATCTAAACAACAAACCTTCCAATAGTCTAACGGGCTTATATTTGGCGTCGCGTGGTTGGCTTCTAAATATTGTCGGAGCACAATAATGGCATCCGACATTGGGGTTTTAATTTTATTTGCAATTTTGGATTGCATAAACGAAAAGTATGCGTTGTTTTCTTTGTTAAAGTGACAGATTGCTCGATGCATCGATTCCCTAAAATAGGAATCGATGTTCTCGCTCAACTCAAAAACATCGATGTAATCGATTTAAGATCGAATCGTTTGCAGCTCTACATTACAAATGAGATTCCCTTTAGAAACTAATCCCCTAAGAACACTCACCAAACTCACAAGCCGTGGGAAACTTTTCGTTGATGGCCTGGCAGACGATGGTCAGTTTCTCGTTCATTCGTTCCAGCAGCAGGATGACCAGGACAACATCATGCTCCCCGCCCCGCAGCAGGAACTGTTCCGGAACAAAGGCCAGGACGTGCTCCAAGTGTTGACGCTGTAGGCGCATCTCCACCGACTTGATCTGCTGCTCCAAAGCCCGACCGTAGGCCTTGCTCACGCTGAAGATGTGCTGGTAGTCCGTCTGGCTCTGGTTGGAGGTCTCCTCCTGCTGGGACTCGTTGGCGCTGCTAAAGTCCTCTATGGACAGAGTGCCGTCGGCCCGGAGCTGGAGCTGCTCCTGGAGTTGACGGACCAGATCCCGAAACTTCATAATGGTCACATCCCGATCGTAGAGACTCTCGATGGCGGCGTTCTTCTGCTGCTCCAGGATCTTTACCTGTCCACTCAACTTGTCGATCTCCTCGCGCAGATCCGCCTCCAGCTCCTGGTTGCTTTCGATGAGCTGCTCCTGTATTTGCTCCAGAGCCTCCAATTCGTTGACCTCCTCTTCGAGGAGCTTGACACGATCTTCCAGCTCCAGTTTGAGAGCAGCCAGTTGAGTGACCATCGACTCGGCACCGAGTGAGGCATCCACTTGCTCCTTCAAGTCCATCAGCTGCACCTCCATGTGATCCACCCGTCGGCTGAGTAATTCCTTAATGCTCTTCAGTTCGTTGATCTCCGAGTGCTTGGTCTCCAGTTCCTTGTTTGTGCGTTGACCCATCTGCTTCTCCACGGCCAGGGTGTCCCTTAGGCGGATCACAGTCTCCCGGAGTCGTTGATTGTACTGCTCCAGACGGAGATACTCTCCGGCTGACTGTGGAGTCACTCCTAACGAGGACTGCTTCTCGTTCTTCTCGAAGCACGGATCTTGCTGTTGTTCCTCCTGCTCGGCTTTCAGGATCTCCACATCCAGGGTGAGTTCATCGTTGCGCTCCTGAGCCATTTCCAGTTCGATTTGCAACGTCTCCATGCGCTCCTCCGCCATCTCCTTGTCCAAGGTAAGCAACTCAATACTCTCGGCTATTTCATCCAGTTCCCTCTTGAACTTCGACGAAGCATCCTGGGCTTCTCTCAGCTCGTGACGGGACCTCTGTAGCTCCCGCTGAAGAAGCACCTGCTGGGTCATTATCTGCGACTTGAACTCCATCAACTGTTCGTTGTGAATCCGCATGCGTTCCAGGTCCAGAAGCTTCAGCTTGTCCTCGCTCTTTTGGACTCTCAAGAGCTGAAGTTCCTCCTTCAGCTGTCGGAGTTCCGGGCTATCCAACGGAGGAGCCACTGTGCTGGGTGTACGAAGTGAAGTTCCAGGAGTGAACTGCGGCTTTAGGATCTCCAGGAAGCGTGGCTCCACAAAGGCTGCCGGAGGTGCTCTCTTTACGGAGCCTGTAGGACTCATGCTCGTTTTGCTCCTCTTGGGGGCCAGGGCCAGAGGCACCGGCATGGCCAGAGTCAACTGGGCCGTGGAGCTCTGAGCCTGGGCCGTTGTCGGCTTGGGCTGGCTAATCCTAGTAGGCCGCAACTGGGTGTAGGATGTGGACCGCCTTTGGTTGCAGGTCATGGCCGGAGGCTTCAACTGCGCTGGCAAATCACCCAGTGTGCTTGTCTGGAGAGGATTGTTGGCCAACTGCTGACTTGGCTTGACATCTTCCTTGCTCTTTCCTTCTGTTTGATCTTTCTGTGGATCTTCAGCCTTGTTCACTGGCTCTGGAGGAGCCTTTTCTTCCTGTGGAGGAGTCTCCTTGGTTGCCTTACTTGGAGTGGTTTTAATTTTCTCATTTTTCTCCGCTTCCAGACTACTTGATGGGCCATCTGAGATATTTGGGTTCTACGGGATAAATACATATATATTTTTAAAGATATTTTTAATAATAAAAATAAATAATATTTTTAATATATAAAAACACTTCTCTCTTTTCGATATTCTTTTCAAAATAATACTTGACCTAAATACGCTTCAGAAACTCACCCTTGGAAGCTGTAGGGGCTGCATGGGTTGATTGACCAAAAACTTGCCCGAAGTTTTGGCCACGGACGTCTCATCCCTTGAAGACTTTGGATTCCTTAACTGTTTTTGCGGTGAGCCCGGATTGGCAGAAGATGCCTTCGTTTTTCCGGAGGAACTAGCCATCTGCTCCCTCTGATTATCCTACGCAAAGTAAAATTTTTCATACATGTCTACATATATCCGCCAACTGGCCCACTTCTGATACTCACTGGCTCATCCACGGACTTGCCACTTCCACCACCACTAGCAGGCCGCCTCGTGAGTTTACTTCGTGCACCGTCGCGCTGCATTTCTAGGGATTTTTGATTATCCGCTTCGCCAACTCCGCCCTCGCCAATCCTCACCAGCTGCTGGGCGCGCACAAACAGGCCGCAATTGGTGGGGCACTTGAAGTAGGTGCTGCCATGGATGGTGCCATTGTTCTTGCCCAACGGCTCGTCCAGAATCACGCCGATCCAGAGGCCGGCGGCAAAGTTTGTGCGTCCCACATAGGCAACCGTTCCGTGCAAATTTTTACCCGTTACCTCAACACGCTGTCCAAGTTTTGGCTTCGGTTCCCGGGGGCTCATCGTCTAAAAGCGGCGCTTACGTCATTTTGCGGACCTGGTAGTCCGGACTGGTGTCAGCAAGTGGATGAACCGATGGCAATAGCGTGTGTAATCCCAGTTAACAGCTTGCAAAAGTGCACTGCTGAGCAAAAACCGATTCGTCATGTGTTGCGTGGGCCCCACCCCAAAAGGAAATGGGTTCCTCCGGGCGCAGGCGCAATCGGAGCCTCAAGAAAGGGTGGTTCGTACTAGAGTGGGCGGTTAGGTGGCCTATGGGAAAGGTCAGCACGTGGGTTTCAATGAAAACAAAGGCTTTGGTTTCAATGCTCATAATAACGACAAACGGGAATCACAATTTTTTATTTTTTGGGCAAACGTTTGGAAAATGAAGAAGCCTGGGAGCGAATTTCCTCAACAATGCGTTCCTCCTCGGCTAGCATGGTCATAATGACCTCCGCATTGGCACGGGAAACCTCCAGCGACCCCTCATCTTCCGGTGAACGACCGAACTCTTCTTTAACCAATCGCATAATGGTACCAGTAATCTTCTTCAAAGGATCCAGAAGCTCCTTCTTATTCTTCTTTCCGCCAGAAGCTTTCTTCACGGCTTGAGTACCGCTGCATCCTGGTTTCTCATCCAGTTCCGGAATAGCCTCTTTAGACCCGGCCACTTTGGCTACAGTTTCCTCGCGCTGCTGGTCCAAACTGCGGGCCTTTTGGACTTCAGTGTCATCCACGGGACGCATATCGATACCGACCAGCCGTTGGCAAAACTGGCATTGTCCAATTATTCCGATACGGGAATTCATCTTGGAGAGTTCTATTCTTAGAAATGTCTCGAAAAGAGATGGAAAATTTACAAAGTATTAGAGCGCTTTTCGTATTTGTGTGTAGCTCTGAATCCGGATTTTGTAGAGACTGATGAAACCAGTTGGAAAGCACAACCAAACCTGATACACATGCCGGCCAGCTTGCTATGTTTTCAAATAAATTTCTACGTAGTTTTATTTTAAGGATTAGGGTTTTATTTATTTATTTTATATACAATCTTTTCTGATCAATTTTATCCCTGGTCTAAATACAATCGATGAACATTCAAACATTTGACGAATTTATTAATATTGCTGATTTATAATTTGAGGGGAGACCATAGTTCGTAGCCTAAGTGTATGGATTTGGTGTTTGTGCCTTTTGCTTAATACGTGCTTCCAGCTAAAGGTGAACCGTGGCATGCATACATATATGTATCTGCCGCTTAGAAGACATTGCGGCAGATGGGACAGGTGGATTTGCTGCTGGTGGTAAACCATTTGTACTAAAAAGAAAGAAATAAAAAGTTAAAATAAACCCTTTTTGAAATGTAATCAGAAACTAACCAAGCAAGGTCCATGGAATTTCTTTTTGCAGGTTTTGCAGGTGAGCTTTGGGAGCTGGCAAGTGTCCTGGTGGATGACTGTGTAGCATACATAGCACTCCTCCACTCCCTCGAACTTCTTGTCCAGGTTGTTCTTCCACATGGTAAGGCCATCGTAAATGGTGCCATTCTTCAAAATTTAAACTGGTCAGTATTTTTAAATGCCAGAATATTATATTATTTTACCTGATGAGTGAGGAAGATGGTTAACTGCATGCCCACGTTGCGAGAGGAGGCCCTTCCCCCAATCTGTTTTCCGCACTCTACCTTTACAGCCCCCAAAGGATAATTGGGGGCGAGGGTAATCACCAGTTCCATGCGCGCCTCGTCAATGGCATAAACAGCCAGGACTTCACGGGTGGAGGCGTGAACTGTGACCTAAAAAATATATAGTTTTGAAACAATTATTCTCAGTAATCGGTGCTTTTGTAGCTGAATCATCGCTTTCCCTAAAAGGACTTGAGAAATCTGCAAAAGGATAGCCTTTAATCTCTTAAAATGTTGACCCTTGACGTTTTTCGTTTGACCACCATTATCCTACTTTTGATCTTCATTATCATAGCATTTGGTCTACGCTCGTACATGGAGGTCGAAGTACTCCAAGACTGAGAAGACTCCACCATCTTCAATCAACCACTAGACCCACCTGCATGTTTTCGTGCTTCTCCTTACGATTGGCAATCGCCTTGAGTTCCTCGGTGCAGATAAGGGAGCTCACGTAGTTGGTGGTGAGGTTATCCACAAAGTTCTTCTGCCTGGATTGGGTGGCATTCCACCAGCGACGCACCACGGCCGGCAGCTTCCGCAACACTTCCGTGTACAGGTGGCAGACATATCTATCCAGCGGCAACTGTTGATCTGTAAAAGTATGAATATTTTTTTATGAGATCATGCTATGCTGTGTGTTGGCTTTCAAATCATCTCCAGTCAAATAATAATATAGCATAGAGTTCGTATCGTTCGATCGTCTGCTCCCAAAAATTGTTTTTGTTTAATTTTTGGTTTTTTGTCGAAAGTATTGTGATCATGCCTTCCGAGAAACCGATAAACTTTAAGGAGGTGCCCTCCGAAATGCCACCACCGAAGCGCATCCACCTCGAAAGCGAACGAAAGACCGTGGCCGAAGCCATCAACTTCCTAAAGGCCCAGTGCGACACTCGCCCGCAACCGAAAAAAAAGGAGGATGATCCGGCCCAGGAAGGGCCGACTGTGGCCGACGAGCTAAACGCCCGCCTGGCCATGGTCCATGTTCGTGAGGCTCGCGCTAAGCACATCAAACGGCTGGTCAAGTACCCTGGTCACGAAACACAAGGATTGTATAGGTTCGAATGATTCTATGGCTTGGTAGGAAGTCAAATTTTATAAAAAATATAAAATATGCAGGTTCATCTGCGTCTGTCCGCGTTACCATCCCTGCTATGTCCCCTGCCAGCACACCGGCCAGATCATCATCGACAGAGATGTGCTGTCGCGCGATGAGCACATCTGCTTCCTGGCCACGCCCAAAAAGGACTTCTCCTCGCCCCAGCTGGGCAAGCAGGCGCGCTACTACACCAAGAAGATCTTCGTCAACCAGTGCACAGCTCGTATCGAGCGTCTGGCCGATCCACATCCGAAACGAGTTATGGACACCTTTAACTTGTTCAGAGAGGTGCTCGAGCCACGGCAACTGGCCGCCCTAGAGAATCAGATGAAGCCCAAGCCCCCAGTGGAGGCCATGACCATGGAAAAGGCCGTGGAGTACATGGAGGAGGAGATGCGCCAGAGACGAGCGGCCAAGCGTGTGCACCAACGACGCTGCAAGGGTCTCAAGAAGCGCATCCTGCAGCGTCAACGCAAGCAAATGCAGAAGATCATCTGTGTCCTGTTTGAGGAAATGAAGGATTTCCTTCTGAACGATCAGTTCATTGTGGACGAGAATTCGCCACTATGTTGTGTCATCCTGGAGCGTCTAAGGGAGTTTACAGGTAATATTTGTCTTACTAGGATCGGATTGAGTTCCTTACGAATTTTATCCCTCAGATCAAGAGTTCTATACCACCAGTAACCTACGCGAATACCAAAGGATATTGGCCAACAACCTAACCGTTTGGATCAACAAGTTCATCTCGAACTTGAACATCTACTTGGCGCCACAACAGATACCTGTCCAGCGCCCAATGATGGGAGAGGACGATCCCGAACAGTTTGTGCCCCTGTCGGATTACATATCTGTGTCGGATATCCCCGAAGAGGAGGAGATGTGCGAAATGGAAGGCGGATATGGCGAGTTCGACGACTATGGCTATGGCGAGGACTACTTGCCAGACGTCTTGGACGACACCGGCTCGGAGGAGACCCTGATTGCTTAGAAGAACTCACCCTTCAACTGGGACCAATTAAGCTCCTTGTAGACGCCGTTGCTGTGCACCTTGGCACCGTGATTTTTTAGAATGTCCACCGGCATGGCGCGGAATAGGAAGTGTAGGAAATTCTGTAATGTAATGACGAAATTTTAGAGTGCATTCCCAAATCAATAGTAATGTTTAAGAATTGTTTTTTCACACCTCTTCGTATTTGTTATCATTCAACCAGTTGGTGTAGACAGCTCTCAGGGCAACTGGGGACTTGGCGCAGGCATTGATGATGCAGTCCCACAGAAAGAGGTAGCTGAGGGCATCGTGCCTATCAATGGGCTCGAGATCTTCCAACTCTGACAGCTTGAAAGTGAACTCTTCCAGATATTTCCGTATCAAGGCATCGTAACGGGTTAGGTAGTCTTCGAAGCGGTTGAGAAAATGCCATCTGGAGATCGTGGTAGTGGCATCTAAGCTCTCGCTTTGTTTCTCATTCAGTTCGATGTCATCGGCCACGAAGTGTGGGGTCAATTGTTTCAAGGCAAAAACAGCACTAACTCGAACCGAGTGCTGGAGACTGTACAGCTGCTTAAACAGGAAGTTGCAGAGATGATCCAGGGTGATGTTACTATTGGATTTGCAGAACTGAAAAAAGAAGAAAGATTATAAAAGGCTCTAAGGTATATGTTTATTATAAAAATTACCGCATAAACAAAGCTGTAGTCCAGTAACTCCAGAGTGGGAGTCAGATGCGCTAGTACGGCATCGTAGCAAGCTTGGAAGCCTGGCTCTACACTCGTCTCGTGGGTCAACTGGTAGTAGGATTTGAAGAGAACCACATTCACCTCCTTGGCGAATAGAGATTCCCATTCATCAATCATATTTTTGAGCAGTTCCGTGGAACTCTTCTGCTTCTCGGATCGTATAAACTCAATCAAGGCGGCAAATAATTGATAAACAGAAACCACAAATAGGCAAGTCTGCAATAAGAATGTGAGTATTATCTTAAGAAAGTACTTCTCATTAGTAGTATGTTAACTCACCTTAGGATCTTCATATTGGGTAATGGATTTGGAGACAGTCAACACCCAAGAACTGAGGCCTATCCGAATGGCATCCCAATTCTTGATGCTCAGTTCGTAGGGAAACCGTTTCAAGACCTCGGTGAGTAGTTTGATGAACTCCACGGTGTTTATGACAGATTCGTAGGGTTGTTGTTTCAGATCGCTTTAAAAGAATAATGGAGTAAGAATAGGAAAAGTTAGATATAATATTTTATAAGCTTACACATTGTAATGCAGCAAGTCCTTTTGGACACTCTGTTTCTCTCCAATACTGGTCATAAACTGCACCGCCGAGACAATGATATTACGATCTGACTGCTCATTCACATCGGACTCGAAATTGTTGAGGAGTAGAGCGCGGAAAACGGCAGCTTTGATCCAAATCTCTGGTGGATCCGTTCGCATAATGGCCGAACTAAGCCCAATAGATTTCTGCAAAAGCTTTGGAAGGAGAAACTGCAGAGCCATCACATAGACCTTGAGGGCGCCCTGGGTCACCAGAGAGTCGGACAGGTCCTCGTGCAGCAGAAGGGGCGCACTCTCATCGAAATCGGCATACTGATGTATAAGGTAGCCCAACAGACGGCTGCCTATCACACTGGGTTGTGCCACGGCATCTTGCCTGAGGCGCTGCTGAATTATTCCCACCAACTCGCTGGTATTGCACATGAAGTCGGACACTTTTTCAACCAAAATGATAATTTGTTCGTCGGTGGCAGTCGGCAAATCGCAGAGCTTTTGCCAGATCTCAGCAGCACTTGCAACACGAATGCACTGGAGCACCTCTGCGATGAGAGGTTCACTCCACTTCTTAAGCACATCAGCATTGGGATCACAATAGTCTTCGGTTAGTTCATCCTCGGGATCGTTGGGAGGCTTGGCCGATGGGAATTTAAAGACCAGCCTGTTGAGAGTGGCCAAGTTGATGGTTGAGCGCTGGATTAAGGGGTATATTTCTTTGGATTCCATAGATGCGCTATCGAAGGCAACTCCTGCGCTGACTGTCCCCGCCAAGGACTCCAATAGAACCACATGGTTTTCAAACTGCTGAACATTTTCGGGTGTTTTCAGGGGAGATTCCAGGAGAGCCGCTATAGTTTCATCTATCCGATCCATCCGCTTCTCCTCATCTTCGATATTTTCCGTGGAGCAGATCACAAACTTGGCCATCGCCTCCGCCATGCTATCCAAGTTTTCAGCGTTTACTCCCAGAGTTTTGGCCAAATCCTCAACTATGCTGGCACAGGTCTTCAGCATATCATCGTCTATTTCAATATCTTTGCTGGAGAGTGCATCTTGCCAGCACGTGGTGATTTCCCAGAGAGTGTCCTCGGAAAGATATTCCTCCGGCTGATGCTCCAAACTGAACTTGTAGAGCCTCAGAAAGACTTTCTGCCGCACCTCCAACGACGAGTTGTCATTGTTGCAAATCACAGGCATTATTTGAGCTAAAAAGCTACCGCACACTTCCACCGTGTTGTCTTTCACTGGCTGCTCCAGTGGCCCGCTCATGGCCAGCAGTATTTTGTCCACCGTCCCACCATTGATGAGTATGTCTCCTGTGTCGGTTTGGAAGAAGCACTTGTGCAGCAGGTTCAGCTTATCCCTATCATTGTCCACCACAACTTCCTCGGCAATCCGGGCAATTACGGCGCAGGTATCCGGACTACTAAGCATCTGCCTCACAGCAGGCTCGGTACAGAGCGGGTACGATAGGAGTCGGTGAAGAAGAAGGTTCTGGACTCGATTCTGAGGAAGCTGTAAGGGAAATATTATAAAAATAAAACAACATTCCTATTATTTTCAAGAAGCTTACCTTCAGAAGCTTCTTTTCAATATAAGCAAACCGCTGATCCGCTTCTAGGAGGGGCAGAATCTCAAACACAATCTCCACAACCGATTCAACCGCCCCATCGTTCACTTGACTCAGTAGGTTGACAAATCTGTCCAAGGAGCTGCTCAACTCGCCGGCGTCGGTAAAGCTCTTGTAGAAGTTGACATCGCTAAACATTTTGGTGAGGGTATGAACTTGCTCAACGTATCGGTTGGCAGAGCTGCCTTTCCCACTACCGCTTGCTTTATCCAGACAAATCCTCACCAGCTTCACAACCAACTGCTTAAGCTCCTTCTGTATGAAAGCAGCAGCCTCTTGGGCCTTCTTAACTGGCGTTGTGGGTTCACTCTTTTCAATCTTCTCCTCCTGCTGCTCCACAAACTTGACACTTGGTGATTCCAGGCTGGGATTGGCCACATGCAGATCCAGCACTAACAAGAGGACATGAGAAAGGAGCTGTTCATCAACCTCCTCGGCTGCCAGGTCTTTGGTAACCAGCTCAAAGATCTTAGTCCAAAATAAATTCAATAGCTTGGCGTACAGACCACCGTTGTCCAGCTTATTGTGGATCTGGCGATCCCAGAAAGCAACCAACGCAGAGCTATGCTGGAAGAAGTTTTTCACATGGGCACTGTCGCTCCTGAGCAGCCAGCTAATGGGTTCCAAAATATTCGTTTCTAGCAGCTTAATGGCAAACTCCTCGTCTTTTGATTCTTTCTCTTTTTTGTTGTTGATTTGTTGGAACAGAAAACGCAGACACTCGAAGTAGGCATTATGGATAACTGTGCAATCGGACTTGGACAACGGAGGATCGAATTTATCCGTGATGCCCAGTTTCATGTCATCAAAGAAGCGTTGGTAGAACTCGTAAATGTCCAGATCCTGCAGGGACGCAGGTGTAATCTTCGAAAGAAAAGGCAGCAGATTAGGGCAAATGGCCTGGGCATTGCGATTGAAGCCATTGCGGAGCAGGGTGGACAGTTTCGGTAGCAGGGCCTTGCGTATGTTGAGTGAGGCATACCAGTCATCGTAATTGTTCTGAAGTAACAAAACGCAGCCCCAAATTTGGGGAGCCACAACCGGATCAGAGTCGTCTATGAATTGAAAGCAGAGGGTCGTAAGCTGGGACTTTTGAGGTAAGATCACATCCAAGAGGGGAACCGATTGCAGGATATGGTAGATGCACTCGAACCAGGCGGCCCTAAAAGGGATAAACAATTATTTAATATTATCTGTTTATTTCCCACCATTCTAACACTTACTTTATGGGCGGCACTTTGTGTTTGGCAAAGCTCCAGAACTTTTGATGCGCCACCAGCGTTTCAAATCCTTCTTTGACTTGGCTCAGCTCCTCGGTTTGTGACGTTTTCTCCAAGAAGAAAGATAAAAGTTTGAGACTGCTAATCACAACCCGTTGGTACTTTTGTTCCGCCTCTTCGGGTGTTAGACTTTTTCCAATCGAAAGAGTGGCAGCTGTGTGGAAGGTCAGGTTGCGGGTGGCATACTCCAATATCTCCACCTGACAATGCAGGCATACCTCCCGAGTCCGATTCGCATTCCCCGCAAAGGTGTCCTTGAAGGACTGCCCGGCTATGCTGGCCGCAGGAGCGTAGGTATCGAAGCGACTGCCTAGCCAAACGGGAACGAGCAACTTCAGGTACGGAGCCATCGCCTTCTTGCACTTGGCCATGAGCAACTGCAGCACCGTTTGCGTAAGTTCGCGCACATTGTGCTCGGGGTCGCTGGCGAGGTTCAGGTAGTACTTCGGCCACAGGGGTAGAATGTTTTTCAGTGAATCCACGTCAGACTGTTCTATGAGTTCATGCAGTTCCTGTAGTGCCTTCTTTTTGGTCATGGGGTCCTTTTTTGAGAGCTTCCGGAGAATGATCTGAGTCTGGGGATCGATCGCCGCATCGAAACTATCCGGCATCTGTTCAGCGCTGGCGAATCCCGGAGCAAATGGCACCAGTCCACCGCCATCCGCTTGCGCTGAAAATCCCACGAAAATGGGCGTGGAGCTGCCCAGCAGCTCAGCTGTTCGGCTGCTGCTCGACGGCTGATGGGTGGCATTGCATTATATTAATGCTAGATTGTATAATGAATGGCAATTACGCCTTACCTTTGCATTATTTTTGGTGCGCGGTGCTTGTTTTGTCTTTCCACCCATTTCTTCTTCTTCTAAATACAGTCTATCGATAGCACGTGGCACACCAGGGTTGGAAATCAGCTGGTTTACGATAACGAAATATCAGGTGTTAATTTACATGTAATTTAAAGTTTATTTATTAAATAAAAAATTTAATTTATTAGTTAATTAGAACACAAAATTTTACATCTCAAGTTTTCTGATCAAAACGAGATTCCTGGCTGAAAAAAGAGACAAACTGATATCGTAGCCAGTGTGTACACAGCCCAAGATTGGTTTGGTTTGGCGCTAAATTCAAATTATTTTGAAATGAAAAATCTTAATGAATTTTGTACTTTAAATATCTATTTTATTTCTGGTATCAAACTCAAATCACGCACACACAAAGCCGTGCGCGACCACTGACAACTTTTGGTTGATATATCAAAGAAATAATAAAAAGGGCAACGCTGCAAACTTGCATGGCCCTTGACACAGTATATAAAGAATTCGCAGCGCTGCATGTGCGGATACAGATGCTGCCCATAAGGCGGACAGTGGATGAGATCACTCGAAAGTGCTCCACTTGGGCCAAATGTAGAACTCCCACTCGACGGCCGCTCCTCCTCCTTGGCGCCCAACGTGCACTGTGCTCGCTCCGGAACATCACATTTGCCGGTCATCGCATTCCAGTGCAACTGCGAACTGCACTCTTGCAAAATGGCCTGGCCATAGTAGCAGATGTAGTACTTGGTGCAGCTGCTGGAGCTTCCAACATAAACAATCCGATCGCTGCTCTGCTGTTGTGCTACCGTGGCGCAATAGGTGTCTACATCCGTGACCATGTTGTTAAGATCGTTGGCCTCGGATCCGGGAGGATTGCTTTCCCCGGATGAGTCCGTGGCATTCCTGCAACGCACATTAGACGCCGCATCGCAGAGTCGACTCTCCGAGTTGAAGAGCATGGTGGGTGGGCAGGAGGCAAGGACGGCATCGCCATTATCGACGCACAGATAGAACATGTGGCAGTCCTCCGCATGCTCCACAAACTCACCCACCAAGTGATTTGCGCAGATGCGTCCTCCGCTCTGGCGGATGGTCACTGAATTCGTGGGCTTCGAGAGCTTCCAGTTCCTTTGTCCAGAAACTAGGAGAAGGCTCCCCATTAAATAAATGGATACTGTAAAAGAAACTCTTAGTTTTCAAACATCTTTTGGACTTAAATTACAAACCTGATATCGTATTAGGCATCACCTTGTGTGTCAGTCTCCCGTAAGGCGCAGTTTTATTCTAATTTCGTAATGCCCGGAGAACTAGTCATATATGCCACAGACACTTCGTCAAAAAAACAACCTCAATATCAGAAAATTAACATTTCCAATGGCGTGTAAGGAGATTTGATAACGTCTCTTCGCAACAACAATATCAACTGCTTAGAATTTTCTATTTTGATTTGCCAAAAATGTGCGATCGATAAAATATTCCAGATATGTCCATAATACTTGCCTGAAGGTTTCAATTTCAAACCCCCGAGAAAAGGAACTGAAGAGATTAGCTTATAAGATGGAGATAGTAGAAAAGCAATTTGCTATGTTTCAATAAAGTTTGTCCTTGTAACCTGGTTCTATCGGTCATTTCCCATCAAACTAGAAGATTGGCCTATTTTCGGCAAATATTTTGGCAGGTGTTTCAAAACAAGGTCAATATTTTGCAAAGATATAGGGCTCTGACGTGATTCACATGATGGTTCTGGTAAGTTGGAGAACCATTCAAGGTTAGGTGTGTTGCTAAGATAAAATAGGTTTCCTTATCATTCTCGGGTATTCTTTTCGCAAAGTTTCCCCAAAAGAATAGGGGAAGAAACCAACCTTATATAGAACTAATTATTTTACTTTGAGGTGACTAAGTAAAGATAGCTTCTTCTTAAGTTTTTCAACTTTTAGAAATGAAATAAGCCTTTTTATATTTTCCGCCGAACTTCAAGACTGCAAAATTTCATAAATGTCTATCAGTAACACATTATTTTATTTCTACAACTTCAATTGCACTTTATTATAACATTTAGCTTGGCTTAGCGCTACGCAGGATCGTTTCTCGTAGTCCCATCCATAGAAGAAAGGACACTGCTGGACAATCAAGAAACCCAGACGGCATTGATAGAAGTAATTGCAATTATCCGGATGAGGATAGACATCGATGGTGTGTCGTTTACACTGCTCTCGGGGATTGGAACTCATCGTCTAAAAGAATTGAATTAACTTTTGTTTTAAAGATATATATTGTTGACACATTACCAAGCATCTGACATTCTCGGGATGATCGCATTTGCCAGAACGGGAATTAAAATGCAGACTAGCCGCACAGCTCATGGGAAGAGCTTCCCCCTGATAGCAAATGAAATAATCCGAGCAGGAGTTTCCATTTGGCAACAATACGATACGGCTCTGATTGTCCTGCCTGGGACACAGGGTAGTCACGGCCACCTCTATGCTGGGGTAGAGTCCGGTGGAGCTAGTGCTTCCAGATTCGTTGGCTGGAGGGCGCGTTGGGACAGTTACCAATGCACCCGGAGGCGCCACCGTTGTATTTAAATTGGAAGATGCGGTGGAGTTAACCACCTCTGTTTCTGGTCCGGAATTATTCTCTGACGAAGCAGTCTCAGAGTTGGATGAATTGTTGGTGGGCTCTGCTGGTATGGGCAAGCCCGATCGGCAATCTATATCACCCATGGGCTCGCACAGTTGCAAATCAGCACTGAAGTATTCACCGTCTTCGCATTCCCCATCGTACGAGTCATCCCCATCGCAGTATATGTAATGGGCACAGCTCTTGGGCGACTCGACAAAGCTGAAGCCATCGGCTCCATTGCACTCCTCAAAGACATCGGCCTGGGTCTGGCCCAGGACCAGTACCAATATCGGGTAGTAGTGCCAAAGTTTTAGCATCTTCTCGGCTTCGTTTCGGAATATCAACTGATCTAGTGAATAACCAGACCTTTGGAATTTACCTCGCATCTCAAATCGAAGTCTAGCCTATCTGAAATTAATTTGCCTAAAACACGGTTCCATATCTTCTTTATTACAAACATTACGATACAGATACAGATAAAGATGAATCTTATAGCTGGAAGACCGATGAACGATAGCGCTTTTTGGAAATACACTGTCCTTGTGCCGCTTCGAAGTAAAAGTTCTGCGGGCACTGCTGTAGGAGGAGATACCCGCCCATACACTGATAGTAGTAGTTGCTGTTTGCCGGATACGGATATACTCCGTTTTTGCCACTGATCCGGCACAGCACTCGAACATCGGTGATAGAACTGGGAGTAGTCGGTGGGAGAGTGGTTTCTGGTGGAGCAGCTGTGGTGGTGGTTATACTGACTGCGGTAGACTCGTCTGAAGAGATCTCCTGTGGAACCAGAGCTGTAGTTGTGGGTGGCAAGGCTTCTGTAGTTATTTCTTCATCCTCCTGATAGCACTGAACCGGCTCCTCGCAATCCCCATTGCAGTAATAGGAGTTATCGCCATCGCAATGAACAAACTGGCTGCACTCCTTGTTTTCGTTTGGTATCTTGGGAATGATGACCCCCTTGCAATCCTCCAGGAATGCTGCCCGCACCTGGAGGCCAGGCAGCAGGCAGGCCAGAAGTATCAACTGCCACATATATAGGCTTTCGACTGTTTTCATCTCGCGGATCAGGGCCGGTCTTTATAGGTGGGACTATGACTCGTCTTGCTTGTTCGCTGATAAGACTCTAAATTCTGTTTATTTTCTAGCTTTAATGAAATTAATTTGACACGACAATAGTGGCTTAATTAAAAGTGATTTCAGTTTATATACATTATTTTCACTTCAGCGTACAATCGACAAAATTTTGAAGCCTTCCACCACATGCTCCGGTGTCGCCATTGAAGGCATATCCGATAGGACACTGCTCCACCAGCAGAAATCCATCCACGCAGTAATAGAAGTAGTTGCAGTTTTGTGGGTAACTGAACCTCTTCGTTACACCCTGCCGGCACTGACGTCGCACATCGGATGGTGACTGGGTGGGTGAAGGTGGGTCCGTTGCTAGGGTCGGCGTTTCCGGGTCCGAGGGCGTCACAATGGTTTCGTTGCAAGTGAAATTGGCACTACAGTTTGTGGCTGAGAAGCAGAACAATGAATCCGCTCCGGAGCAGTTCAGGTAGGGATAACTGCAGTTGGAGAGCAGTGTGTTGTTGACGATTCCAGTCCGTCCATTACATTCTGTAATATTTAATCCATGGATGGCGCAGAACAGGACTAGGAGGCCATAGGCGATCAGCAGAATGTCAAAGCGCGAAGAATTCTGCATTCTCGATCTTTGTGGTGGGTTGAGTGCTGTGCGCTAAGCTTTTTATAGCTCGGGCTCTGACAAGTCAAGTTCTTCCAAAATAAGTTATATATTTAATTAAGGGTCTCATGTTCTACAAATGTGTAACTTATCGTTAAAGACGGATCTTATCAGACTAAACTAGACAACTTCCCCCGGAGTTGAAATGAGTTTTTCAAGAGTTTCTGGGAGTTTCCGGTTCGCTTGGAACGCTTGGAGTTTCCGTAACATTTCGCAACATTTATCTGCACACAGCTCCTCCGTTCGATGTCCCAGCCGTAGTAGAAGGGGCACTGCTGCAGCGTCAGGAAGCCCTTAATACAGTAATAGAAATAGTTGCACTTGTCCGGATGTGGAAAAAATTCCGTCATGTGGGGCAGGCACTTATGGTCTCTCGGATCGTCAATCTAAAAATTTAATCATAATGTCATTCCCAGTCGCAGATCAATATCGAAAAGTACAAAACCTACCGCACACTGGACGTTCTCTCGGAGATCACACTGCCCGGAGATTGAATTAAAGTACAATTGATTGGTGCAGTGCATTTCCATGGCATGCCCGTGGTAGCACAGATAGTAGTTGCTGCATGATTCATTGCTGGCCATTAGAATCACCTGGCTGGGATCGTCGCTGAAGGGGCAGTTCGGCTTAACCACCGGAGCAATGTCCAGGAAGTCAACCTCGGTGGGGGGCTCCTGTATCGGAGGCGACGGGGCTTCTGTCGGCGGTGTCGAGTCGTTGCCGTCTTCGGGTTCTTCCGGTTCGGGCTCAGGTTCCGGTTCTGCTGGCTCATCGACTTCGTCCAGAAAGCATTGTACATTGGCCGCCGCGTCACAGCCCCCCGTCTCGCCGTCGAAGTACTCACCGTCGTCGCAATCGCCCTTAATGGAGTCCTCACCCTGGCAATAGACGTACGACTGACAGCTCTCCCAGCTCTGGACAAATGTCTCGTCTTCGACACCATCGCACTCATCGAAGTGATCGGCACTCGATCGGTGGCTTGTCCACAACAGCACCAGGCAGAGGTATATGAAATATTTGGACATTTTGTGGGTTTCGGGTTGGATCCTCTACTGAGAGAAATCTATGAATCTACCATTTTATTTATGGGCATATTTGTGAGGTCTTTTCCCGCCGACATGCATTTCTTTTTAGTCTAATTAAATATCATTTTATCACGAGAGACCTTCAAGATAACATCCATAAGTTTCTTGCCATCGAAGGTTCATTGTATTACAAAATATTCTCGAATCTAGATTCTAGACTCTGTGAATCACATCCCCCCAGCATTCCTTGCTGCTATTTTGGACTACCATCCAATTATGTCATCACTTGCTTGCAGAATCGGCATTACACCGTTCGATGGTTCCACTCATTTTGCTGAATATGTTTACATAAGCCGCAAAACTTAAAAATTAATATTCAATATACCCGAACCCCGAACCCAAGCACACTTACACTCACACAAGCCACTAACAAACATACAAAAAGCGTCAAAAGCGTGAAAAAGACAACGCAACAGAAATCATTGACCTCAACAACCGCCGCATTGGCCGTATTTTGTTTATGGATAGCCAAATGTGGAAGAAGACGTCGACCAGGCAAAGATTTCGGATAATATGACACGGCCAAAAGCTACTCTTCCATCTAACCAAATACCTTTATTATCGTCCATCGCATCAGAGAAGGTTAAGGTTCTTTCGTCAAACTGGTAGACGACATTATCAATGAAACACCTTCATAATCATATTAAGTACTTTTTATTCCTGATATGTCTGGTAAATAATACATATTAGATTCTTTTCTATATGTACCTATAAAAATTTAATAGATTTGAGATAATAATGATTACCCAAAAGGTAAAATATCTAGATGTTTTAATGATGTTCCTTATAACTATAGTTTCTTAAAAGTTACTTCTCTAGGATTACTCACATTTAACTTCTTAAATCCAATATTATAATAGATGATCTAATTTTTATTAGCATTCTTTCTTCTTGTAGAGCATCCAAAGTTCGTGATAGCCTTTCTTTCTTCCCCGAACAGCTTTTGTTATGATATAAATCACACAAAGTTGCGAGTTGCCCGAGGTATATTTCTTCAGTATTTCATTCAATTATTTGCAATATCATGGCGGACACTATTAAGTGGATCGATCGGACGAGAGAATTTGCACAAAATCTAATTTATTGTCAAGCATTTCCAAAGACGATAAGACAGAAATACTCGCCATCGCTACTGGACTATGCTGGTTAACTTTATCGTGCGCACCTGTAAAAGGGGTAAAAAAAAAAAAGAAAAATTAACAACAAAAAAATTAATAAGAAAAAAAAAAATATATATATATATGTACTATATATAAAAATAAAATCAACAAGAGGACAGGTAGTGAGTGGAAGTTTATATGAAATTGTTTAAACAAGTGCAAACGTAACCAATCTTTTGTTGTTGGACGGGCGATACTTTATTATAGCCCATTTCTTATGAGCGATATTTGCTTTTAATGCAATTGACAGATGGACGGATGGACGGGTATGGATGACTGGGAACATCGATCGAGCTAGAACAAAAGATGGCTCAATGCACATGACGCTGACGGTGTGTGGATTCAGTTGTAACGACAACGACGGCAAAATGTCTGCGACGTTGCGTGTGTTGACACAACCAAACATACAATACTTACAGAAAACTCCAACACATCGATATAAAAAAATGCCTTGATCGTCGAATTATACCTATATTTAATTTACAATCCACATGTATGTACATTTATTGACAATTGTGTGTTAATATCATCGCTCGCCGCACCGTTTAAAGATACTTTTTCACGATCGCACTCCCAAGTCCCCAAAACAAGTGTCCAGAAATATGACGATGACACGATCGCTTCCACAAAACATCCTGAGGGAGTAGACGACGAAAGATGTAAACAACAATGAGATCATTTATTATTTTTAGACAAAAAAAGTAAATGCGTATTTGTATCTCGAAATGGCAGGTACGACGGATGCGACAGGCCTCGATCTTAAACGTTGCTTCTGACAGAGTGATAATGACGAAACTAGGTCAGTCAGAAGGTATTCTGTGATGTCGCTTTCAGCACGAAATAATACATCGTAGTATAGATATATATGTTTTCGTGGAAGAATCTGACAAGTGACTAAGTGTCGGATGTCTAATTCAATTAACAGCTCCTGCAAGGGATCAATGTCCTGCTGAATAAATTGTTTGTGGGAAAGCCATCGGTTTTGAAAAGCTATCTAAACATGTGGCCATATTTTTAGATGTCTTGTGCCATACATACATTCATAACATACATGTGTTCTTATGCATTTCTCAGTACTTTTCCGAGGAATATACAAAAGCCGCAGGCACAGCTGCTTTTTCATAAAGCTAATAATAGTATATCATTAAACAAGAGAAATTTTTGCTTAATGTAGGTACACAATAAATAGAACTTATCAACTTGTATCCGAAAACGAAACTCGGGCTAATTGAAGCCTCATGATTGTGACTAAAGAATGTTCATACATGTATCTATGTTTTGGCCCAAAAAGCATTAGCTGCATAAATATCTTTTTCATTTTCTGTTCACGCATGTCAAATTGCATTTTTATGGCCAAGAGCGTAGTATACACACAGAGGCATGTTAAACGTATGCTAAAAATAATTAACGATAAGAATTGAGGACCAGCCCCTCTGGGAATTCAGGGTGACCCTAAAACCAGATATGATGTAGGTCATTTAACCCCAGAGATAAGCAATCCTTAAAGTCCTTTCTCAAGCAAGAGAAACTCTAGACAGAACATGAAAGTCAGCCTTTAACCATATTTTATGTATCAGACTATATTTTTAGGGTTTTTTTTCATTTCTGAACAATCTGAAGTGATAAGAGAAGAATCCGCAATAACAAAAATTCATTCATAGGGGGAAGTTATATTAAATTATCAACCCATATGCCATGACAGGTAGGTGGGTAGGGAATCTAATCAAAAGTTTCTGCCGTAATGCTAAATTATATTTAAAAAGAAATCTCGAGTAGAGATTAAAATGTTACTGCAGATAAACAGACGTAGGAGGTGAAGGAGACGGAATGACGGAAAAGTCGAGACTAACAGACACCTCCGGCGATTTAGTATCTTCTAACCAAACTGAGATACAATTTATTTTTCCAGTGAACACTCAACCCGACTCACACCCATCAAACACACACACATAGCCTGGCACTCACAAGCCCACAACTTTTTTTTTTGATGTGATTCACAAATCAAATAATAAGAAATATATATAATAATAAAAGAGAAACAAAAATAAACGAGTAAGCGTCGTCAGTGGCGAAAAATATTTGTGCCAGCCATAAGATACAAATGTATCTTTTCTCTATATATACTATATAACTGTAAAAACCACTTGATACTGAGCACGATCGACTGACGCCAAGAGAACCAAAGAGAAGCCCAGTCCGGAGCTAAGAGTATCTGAATGGCTTTGCAAATTAGGGGCGGTGTTGGGGGTATTTCGGAATCGGAATCGTAAATGGGGAGTGGGAATGGCCCGTCGCCGGTTTCGGCTCGGCTTTACCCGGCAGCAGAGGCAGTGGCAGTGGCAGAGGCTGAGGCAGGAGCAGGCAGCAGCAGCAGCAGCTATGCGGGTTCAAATGCGGCCAGCATGACGAATTATTACACACAGTCTCGAGTCTCGAGGTTCGAGTCTGGCCGCGGCTGGCAAATGAAATTTAATGTACAATACAAACACCACAAGTCCATGTCCACGTCCACTCACACACAACCCCGACAACGATCATGCCGTGTATGCCTGCTTGCCTGCCTGTTTGTAAACTCACAATGCACATTGATGATGTTGTGTGTTGATGGGATGGTGTGTGATTCAAGTGTGTGTACCGCACCAAATATTGTGGCAAGAAGGGGGAAAGGCAACCCGGCTGGGGCATGCTACCCTTGCGAATCTTGTACCGCAAACAGCCACGAAATCGATCAATTTTTGACAAGATCTTCTTTAACATTATTCCACTTCCCCGCCAATTAGAAAGTGTAACGAATCATGAACCAAAAAAAAAATACCAATCTTATTCAATGAAAGCTCTTCATGGCTCAAGCGGTGAAATTTTTGTTGGGCAAAATGGCTCGAAGAATCGGTGTACTCGTTCCGAAATAAGGGCATTCATAATACTGAACCGGAGACCCCTTTTGGGGCTCGGCTATCAGAGCTCATTGATCTGAGGGAGGGAGGAGATGCTGTTGGGGGATCTATTGGGGATTTTCAATGCGATAATCAAGCGAACACAATCAGGGGCAACCCGTTTCGATTTACCATGTAAGCCATCTTGGGGATTTTAGACTTTTAAATAGACACATAAATATATAATAACAAAATAACAAAAATTAGTGGCCGAAGCCGAAGCTGAAGCTGAAGTTGAAGCTCTTCGGGGAGAGCTGCTGGCTGGCTGGCTGATGGTATCCCTCTCCATATTACACAAGCGTTTTGTGAAAACATCGCCGTCGACGTCGTTGTCATCGTCTGACGCTGTATCTGTTGTCCGGGCAGCTTTAAACCGGATCTTTGGTTTGAAAGTACATTCACTTTAATGCCGTCGTCGACGCTGGCGGTGACGCTGCGTTGCAGCAGCAGCAACAGCCGGGCCAGAAACAGCCAGAGTCCAGGCCCCACCAAACAGCCTTCAAATGACAAAGCAAAAGGCTTCGTTTGGCTCTCGGTATGGTCTGCACATGTGCATAGTTCAAATAACTTGGTCAAGTTGACAAGATCAACAGAGCGCAAGACCGCATAGCCATACCCAATACCAACAGCAACAGGGAGTGTTGCCAAGCGGCAACCAAAGTCGGGTTTAGTTGCAGAGACGGGGGAACCCCTTCTGAGGCTGAACTCCCCCCCCACCCAAAAATCAAATACTCGTACCAACTGAAAATCTATAATAAAAAACAGGTTAACAAATGTTGCCGCAACGCCAGCAGCGACGTCTCTGCCCGTTGCCGATCTCGACGCAGCTCAGCGCGTCGGAAGAAACTTGTTTTCCTTTCCTATGCGACTCCGGGCCTCTGGGCTCCGGGTCGGGTCTCAATCTCAATCTCTATCTCAAAACCGAAGCCGACGTCCAAAGCCGGCTTACATTCACTTTACACCAGCCCCGAAGAGCGTGAAAGTTGTTGCAAGAGAACGAACATGCTTGTGAGATAATGAGAGAGAAAGAGAGTGGCCAATAAAGCCGGCTACCCGCATATTACAACAGGGTATCGAGGGTAGATTTGTGGCCAAGAACTGTGGGAACACTCGAGTTATGGGGAGGAGGTTCTAGGGTTTTTTTTCGGTATTTCCAATACTAATTTGAAAATTATGAGAAACGTCAATAATTTTCAATAAAGAGGGGGTGTGAATTCACATAAAGATACTACTAGAAGAGGGGTCTGTTTTTTTTCACGAGGATTCAGATAGTTTCCTAGAGTAATAGGGGAATAGTTGGTTATTAAGGAGTATCAAAGAGCGTTGTATAAAGTATCTTAGTACCTTAAGTATAGAAGAAAGCTACTAATATCTGTAGAGTTTCGAATGGGCAAGAAAATATTAAATTATAATTTAATATTTTTAAGGTAAAAAGCCAAAAAAGTATCTAAATAGACTTTTTAAAATACACTTTTTAAGACCTATCTTACTCTAAAAGTATCTTTATGTGAAAGGAAATGAAATCAACAAGATGTGTAACATATTTCAAACTTAGAATTCATCCAAACTTACTCACACCAGTTTACACTTATTAGCTTGCTAGAATCTTAAGGGTTTTTTGATATATCCTCCTAGATATCATTCAACACTCATCCAAAATGTCATTGAAAAGTATCTGATAGTCGAGCTTTCTGGCCAAAGTTCTGGCGCTGTTGCCGGCATTGTGGCCGCTGAGAGATATACACATAGGAAGAGCGAACCAAATCGAGATTGATAAACCTCATATTTTCTCTTAGCTATGTAGTTCCTCGACCGATTTGGCTATATGTGGGGGAGAGAGAGAGAGAGAGTGTGATGGAGTGGGCCAGAGATAGAAAGAGAGAGCCGGGCCGACAACCACAACGACGACGACGTCAGCGTCGATGCCGATGCCGGCAGCGAGTCGACGTTTTGATTCGTTCGTATCGGCATTCACAAGAATTTCACCGACATTTAGTTTAGTACCGTTTTTGGCTGCAGTCGCACTTCGGACAGTTTATTCTAATTGTGTGCTACCATCCCATACACATACAAATATATAATTGTTAAAGTTAACGTTATTAAACACACCATATTAAATGCTATTATACACGGGCCGAGCAAAGCCATTTTGAAAGCGGTCTACTCTAACTCCATTCACACATGAAACACACACGAAAAAAAAAGAATATTCAATTAAATCAATTGTATCCGTAATAAAGTCCAAAAACACACAGCAAAAAAATTAAAATCAAATAAACTTAATGATATACAATGTTTATCGAGTTGAAATCTAAATGTAATAACTATTTTCTATGAAAATCGAGTGTTTCCGCATCGGGAAAAAGTTAATAATTCAATTAATGTTAACGCCAAATATAATTCGACAAGAAAAAGCGCATGCAACAAGTTAAATCCAGCCACAAGTTGTAAACCAAGTTAGAACCGTACTCACAGATACACACCAATACTAATACGAATACGAATGAATGCCCGGTATACACACACCAGAGCAAACGCAAAAAACATACACCAATACACACGCAGACTATAACAATGTCAAGTGAAAACATTCTCTGGAAGCAACAGGTTTCCCCTTAATAAGTGTTATAAAGAAGCAACCCAACAGTCATCACCCAGAACTGTTCGTTTGAAAAGAGCGAGCGACCGAGGAGAACGCGAGAATTAAAGAAGATAATATATATAGTAAAATATATATACACCTATACATATATATATATATAAAATAAAAGAAACCCCAGCTAGAGAAAGAGGAGATCCGATCCGATCCACCTTCCAGTCAGGCAGAGCCTAACAAAATTTGTTACCATAAAAATAATAGAAATAATAAGCGAAAAAAAGTAGACACAGTTCATAAGTGGGTTAAACAAGAAAAATTAGTGTGACTGCAACCGAGTGGAACCGAGCCAACCCCGAATCCAGACCCAGACCCAGACCCACAACCGATCTTGGCCCAAACCAACAGAGTTCTTAGAGCGCATCCGCTGAGAGAGCGTATTAACCTCAAAGAACCATGGAATTCTACGATGGCGACCTCAAAGATATATGGGATTCCGACTTAGATCCGGTAAGTCTTCAAGTTACCCTCGAGAGTTTGTACCCGGCCCAGGGGTTTCGTTTCTATCGACCCGATCAACAGAACCCATTGATACTTGAGAGCCTTTTATTACAGCAGGTTGTTGTATGCTTGATATGAACTGAACCGCACATGGTCTATATGGTATGAGAAAGTTAAGAGCGACAACTTAAAGGAAACGATAAGAAAATGTTGGCTAACATTAGCAATATATATTATACATATAGTAGTAGTAGGTTGTACAGCTCCACGACTAACGACTAACCAAAAATGAATGTCACAATAATCCGGACTAAGGTTAGACAATTTGACTAAAAATCGGCGAACTCTCTGAACTGTGATCTTCGGCCCGAGGCCTAGGCTCTGCCCAACTCACACGAGATTAAGTCATTTTTTTTTTCTGAAATTGTCCCATGATTTTGAGTTGTTTTAGGAGACGAGTTTGTAGAAATTGCATTTAAAATTTCAAAGAAAAACATTTTAATGACCCACATTAAGCTTATCAGCTGGGAGCTGGGGAAAAACGTGAACTTATTCATGAGCTGAATTCTAAGTATAATCATCGATTTAAAACCCAAAGGAAAAAAAAACAATTAAGCTAAGGGTCTCCTCCACCGACTTTAGCCAGCTAGTTTTCTTTTCTTTCTCTGCATATTAAGTAGCTCGAATTTATATGTATGCGGTCACCTGAGAGAAGTCCGATCACCAAAACTGGCCTACGATCAAACCTGTCCCAACCAGCCTCATAAAAATGTCCGCTCACAAAATAGTGAACAAAAAAAAACCAAAATCTAATCGAATTGCCCAGCTACCAGACGTCAGAGCCCCTTAAATATAAATATATACATAATACACACCCAAAATCAGAGTTTACATTTCTTGTTTGTGGAGGACGTACCCATGGGATTCAAAACTTTTGCAAAATAGATATGATACACCTTTATAGGTCTCCGACGAATGTGCTTCTTTTTTTTTTTTTTGGGGAACGGAAAGGTACATAGTTTTCAAGGCTTTTTTATCTCAATAGTTGAGTTCCCGCTTTTTTGGGGGAGAAAAGTGACAATTTTTAGTGACTTTTTGTGTTCGAATATATCAATTTACATGGTTTTGATAAGAGTTGCGACTCTATATCTTCCAGTATGAGGAACCACTTCTCTTCAGTTCGTAACTTAGAAGTTTTGCTGTCCTACAAAGTTGTTTTCTGTTTGGGGCGATAATGATAATTGGAGTTTTCCAAGAAATTAAAAGAAATTTATCATTAGTGAACGATTTTTGTAGCAGCACCACCCCTTCCTTTTGTGTTTCTTATTTTTTTTTTGTAGTATCACTCCCCCAACAAGCGAGAAATGTTTCAATATAATGAAAATTGTGTGGCCTGGGCTCAGCTTCGTTTGCGGAGTAGTCGGAGATGTTGTCGTCTAGTGCTTATCGCTGCGGAAACAGTAATGAATACATGTCGTCCGTACGTAGTACTACGTACGTCCGTCTGTCCGTCCAACCGTCCATCTGTCCGTCCTAGATGATTTTGGTATTGTGGAGGAAGCACTTCGGCTGGCCGAACACAAAAGAAGAATCTATTACCGCATTCGAATGAAAATAGGAACGGGAACGGGAGGAGGGAGGACACATGCGGAGTTGATAAGCGGCCGAGACCGCCGAGACCGTTCCTATCAGCTGGTCTAAATGCAAAGTAATGACTTTTTTTTTTCGCCTGATGTTTGTGATGGGTGGTGTGGCTGCCGCTGTGCTGCACTTTGCTGCAAATCAACAACAAACAGACTATTTGTATGTCCCGTCAGTGTCATTACTATTAGAGGAGATAATAATGCACGCCGGCGACTACTACTTGACTACCCGACTACTCGACTACCCGACTCTTGACAATGTAAAGAGTCAGAGGGACAGAAATAGGCCCATTGCCCGGGAAAATGCGCGTGCAGTTTATATATTTTTTTGCGTTTGCAGCGTTTTTCCCGCCGTAAGCGGTACAATGTACCCGTACCCGTACCTCAAACCTCATACCTCATACCCGTACCCGGGGCGTGCGCTCAATTACATCATAAGTATCTCAGAAATGCATGTGTGTGCCCATAACAAGAAATTATCGGTTTCCTTTAGATAGTCGCCGCTCTTAATACCCTCTAAATATTAGGTAGATCAGAAACAGATATTTCATTCATTTTGGGTATTTTGGGTATTCAAGGGCTAGATAACGCAATTCCATTGAATTATCCTAGTTTTTGTTTGCCAGCCCCCCAGACTTCTAATCAGTTTCCCATTTTAGCATTATTTTAATAATATAAACTATCATTCTAAAGTCTCTTCAGCCATATCAACAATCTTATCTTAAAGTATTTTGTAACCAAAAAAACAAAAGGAAAAAAAATAAGACCTGCGCCCCAGATAAGGTCTGAAATGCCCAATTTTGATTAGGCCCTGGCGCACCGTTTCCCACTTAAAAGTGTGACAAAAAAAAACTAAATAATATATATGATGCCCTGGGATTTTTTTTCGGTTGGAAATGAACCAAAACAAAGGAAAAAAAAATAAACTAATGCCTTGACGTTCCGATAATCAATTTTAATAAAAATGAGAATCAATATCGTACGCGACGAGTTAAGGGTATGGAATTGGCAAAGACCTGAATAGGGTTAGCAGGTCTCTCTTCAGAGTCCACCACTGATAATGTCACGTGCCCCCACTCTTTCCGAGATTCCGATCATTGCTATTATGAAAAGGCCCCCGCCCATTTCATTCAGAGATCTTCGAGTGGTTTCCCCTATCAGTTTATAGAGCACCGAGGAGTTGACATAGCAGAATCATTATTAGCGGGTCGCACAATCTGTAAAGCTCGTATCTCATCACAGACGTGTGTATATATACTGAGTGTGGATCGGGGGATTTCTCTAGAATTTGTTTATATGGGGAAAATCCAATAATAATCATTCAATTAATCTGTTGTTTAGTATTCAATGGTAATAATAGTTTCGCAGAAATCTTTAAAATAGTATGCATGGATGTCCAAATCTTTGTATCAAAATTTCTATTCAAGAATTTTCAATTCTGGTCCAGACTTGATAAGAAAATAATGAAATATTTTGCTGTTGGAAGCTAAAATTATAATTTAAATTTTCACATCGTGATGATAAGAAAGCACATGGAAACAGAATGGCTAATTAAGCAATTTTAGAACTTAGCTAATCTTTTTTCTCTCCAGCTATACATTTATTTTTATTTTTTTTAATATTATATTCGAGGGCCGGAAAGGGTTCAGTGAAATAGAAATGGAAACGAAAATTGCGTTTTAAACATCATAGCTTTAAACTAGAATTATTCAAGATCGTCTTGCCAAATCTTACCTCGCGAATATGTAGTCTCTTACCAGTAGTGTTAATAGTCAAAAATGATCACCTTGGGGTGATCGCCTTCAAAAAAGAATGCTGACCCAAGCCGAAGAATGGCGAAGATGGCCAAAACCGAGAGAGTTCAGGCTCAGACTGTGGCTCAAAAATGCAGCATTAACAACAAGTGGTGGTTTTTGATTCGGAAGCAACTACTAAGAAGTCAGCAACTTTTTTCCTCTTTCATTGAGATACAACCAACAAAACCGAAACCGAAAAAACAACCTGTTTTCCATATTCTTTTCTTCCATATGCAGATATATATATACTTTTTGACATTTCTAGATCTCTTTTATTTTTTGTATTTTTTCTTAAGTTAACTTTCGCTTATATAAGCATAAAAATGGCAAGAAAGTTAACAAAGAGAATCCCATAGGCCAAAGGGGGCGTGCATAATGGTATTAGCAATTTCTTTTGGCCAATTCGACACCCTATATGGTCGAATACGGTCGAATGCAAATGTGATGGTGATTGTGAATGCATTTCGTTGAGGTTAGGTTGAAGTTTTTCTAACGGCTTAATGCAAGGCCCGCTACTTAAAATGCACACGAGAATGCCAACAAGAAACGGAAAACAAAAAACGTGCTTGGCAACAGTCTCGAGAGTTAACTCTCGAGAGTGGCTCAGCATATTTGAATAACTAGTTCGGGCCATGCACGATACTTTCAATATGGTCTATCAGACTCTGGGTCTACAATATATATCTATATATATATAATATATATGTATCTTGTAGATACTCTTGGTGTGCGTTTATTGCTTAACTTTGACATTTCCAATAACCCATAGCAGCCATAGCTATGAAACTTTGAAGCCAAAGTCAGAGACAAAGCTGGTGCCGGAGCGAGCGTTGCAATCTGCAAAAACAGGTTAAAGCCCAAAGCGAATGCAAAGAAACCGAAAGACTAGCAACTATTGCGAATTTAGCGCGCTCCAGCGACACAATTTCTATGCCAAAAGTCCAAACATATGGAAAAAAAAGCGCGCATAATTAAATTTGTGCAAACCCACCAACACACATAGTATTGGCTTCCATGTGCGCCAGTCTCGATGGCTCCTCTCCATGGCTCTTTTCTTTCTTTTTTTTTTTTTTTTCTGCCCCATTCATGTCCGGCTGGCTAGCAGTCGTCGTCCATTCCATTCATGCGGCCTTTACACGCGCTGCGCCGCACAGGATGCGCAGTCGTCCCCACCCGGCTAACTGGCCTCTCTCTTTCATAGCTCTCTTCGGCCGGGTGGCCGTCTGTCTCTCTTCGGCTGGGTGCCACCCCACTGTAAAGGCCGTTCCGAGAGTGGGCGGCCGCACGGCCAGCTGTTTCGGTTTTGTTTTTGACGTCAATGTCAGGACGACTTGTTGGAGGAGTTGTTGTGGCAAACCGGAGAGTGTGAATTATTCATGGACTTGCATTGAATTTACAATATGTTACAGCCAGAGAGACCCCCAAGGGGGATGTCTTAGACGTAGTATTCCATACTAGAAACAGAAGCAGAAGTAGGCGTGGGCGTAGCAACATATTGCCAGAGCTAATGAAGTGTTATACGATAAGTGTAACAGCAGGCAACAAGGAAGCAACAGTTGAAGGCTTAAAG